CGACTGTTTGTGTTTGCTCGCTCCTTCTGAGTGCAGAGAGACACATGTACAGACCTGTTTGGTCACGCTACACACAGCAACCTACATTCGGTTTGTCGATTAAAATTTACGTAATCGATGAAATTCTTAATGATCAATTATCGATTAATCATGCCCATCCCTAACCGCAGTAATTAATTATATGCGCAAATTTCATCATTCACACGTCTATTCACAGCTCATTTACATGTCAGTGCAGGTCCAATAACAAATATATGGCCAATACAGTCACTTTACAATAGACCAATAGAAAACAGTCTGTTTATGTGCAGGAGCTACAGCAGCTAATCGCTAATCAATCAGAACAAACCAAAACTAGTTTCAAAGTCGAAATATCAGCACTCAGCCTCACACAGGCTCCTCCTCACATCACAAGTCTGCACTAATAAATGTCCTTTTAATCCAGACTCAAATTGATTGTCCGTAAAAAGAATATAATATCAGTGTTGCACATGGATCTATGTCTGTGGGGGTAAACAAACACACGTGACTCTGGGGGTGTGTTCAGGGACAGTACGGACACACACACTGAAAAATGACTCCGCAAATAAATCCTGATGAGGAGACACATATTAGGACATTTATCTGTCTGTAAATTGGATTAAATGAACAGAATATAGAGAGTCTAAGATTTATAACGAGGTATAACATGCCCACGTGAAATATTGGCCCCTATCAGCAAGCATATTGGCTGATAATATCGGCCAACCGATATATCGGTCGGGCTCTAGTTTGGACCTCTATAAAACATGTTGTGAAATGCTTGAGGCTGCTGGATTCATTTAGCAGGATTAGCATGTGTGAGTGCTGGGCTGTGGTCTCACCCCTCCTCTCTGCCCGTCCACGTGGCGGTCGCGGATGTGGTCGGCCAGGTCGGGGCTGGAGGAGAAGGGCAGCCCGCACAGGTCCCAGCAGCAGGTGTAGTTCAGGGAGGCAGTGGGCGGAACCACCCTCTTCTGCTCCAGCACCAGGCGCAAGCTGCTCACATCAAGTTCAAGTTAGACCGAGCTGCAAAGGCTCACAACAGATCACAGATGTGCATCTTTTGTATTTGGTAACTTCCCCATCTCATAGTTGACCTTTATAGAGTAAATGAAAGAGTAATGTGAATGTTAAATGCGCTGTGATTAGAATAATTTCCTTTCTGGGCAACATGAGCCCTGATGTGTTTTCTGTTTTTATGATTTATGTTAAATTGTCGTGGTCTCTTTCTGATTACATAAGAGGGAAGCCTGCCTGTGTTCTTGGCATAGGAATAAAAAAGGTCACAGTTCAGTTCAGTTGGTAGAGCGTTTGTCCACTGATCTGAAGTTGGTGGCGTGAATCCGGCTGTTGATGTAAAAAGATCATTGGTTAAGCAGTTTGATCCACTGACCCACAAGTTGGCAGTGCGATTCCAGCTCCCACAGATGAATGCTGTTACTGTGTCCTTGGGCAAAAGACTTAACCCATCTCATCCTTAGCGTCTGTGTACACTGGTGTGTTGTTTCTTGATATAAAGCGCTTTGAGTCCCTTGAAGGTGGAAAAGCACTATCTAAAAATGTGACCATAACTTGAGTTGCCAGAGCCTTAAACTGTCATATACTACACAAAATTCACTCTTGACTCTGAGCTTTAAGCCATGTTATGTTTGAGTAATCCTGCATCAGGCGGTCTGCCGCCTCAAAGCTCAAAATGCTCTGTTCCACCTTGTGATGTCATGAAGCAGTAGTTTAAATTAACAGATCCTTTTACCTTTAGTTCAGTAGAGATTAGCAATTCCAGGGCTGAAATTATTCTAGTAAAGGCATATGGAGTTTAAAAACACAGTGGAGCACTTCCTGCATTACCACATGACATCACAAAGTGGAACAGAGCAGAGAATAAATATGCGGCCTAAATAAGCAGAGTCTGTGTGTTTAACATGTGTAATGATACAAAACAACTCCAGGTATGTTTGTGATGAGGAAACTAAATTCTGACATAAATCAGTAAATATCTTCATAATGAGCCCTTCAACCTGCAAGTTTAGGACAAACACAATATTTCAGTTCAAGTAGCTGGTCCATGCCTCAACTGAAAGTCCAGAACCTCCAAAATTCACTCACTTGAGCTGCAGAAGCTGCACTAGCACTGACTCATGACAGGTGCAGGTGCTGGGGTCCAGATCAGAGAATACCGTTACATTTAAACAAACTGAATTTTGCATTGGACCTGGGAACCCAAATGAGACTCCTGTAAGGCTCATAACCTTTTTGACTTGAAAAACAAAACACCAATGCAACTTGCCCAATGCTTTTAAAGAGCATCTGAGCTGTTATAGTGTCTCCTCATCAAACACCTACCAGTGTGTCACTTTGTATCTTTTACATACAGGATTTATACACAAGTAGACGAGTCCTGTTTGAACTCCAAGTCCTTGGTGCTCCTGGTACACAGCAGGCCGTTATTATGTAAATAAATTAAAGCCAGGAGGCTCTAGTAGACTATAGGCTACTGCATTTACTGTGGGCTCTATGTTTTTGACACGTTTAATTACTTCCGATTATTTCTACGTGTAAACCAACTTATTGGGCCCAACACTGACCTGTCCTGCTCCGCTGGGCCCGGGAGCCTCTCTCCACTTGAGTCCGGGGCCACGCTGCTGGGGCTCGCTCTCTCGGTCTTTGTGCGCTCCGCAGACCCCCCCGGCCTTTGTTCTGAGTCCAGCGGGACCCGTGAGCCCTCTGGGGGGCAGTCACTACTGCTGGCCAAGCTGCCCTGAACGGGACTCTTTTCTGGTTCGGACAGATCTTCGCTGTCTTCATGTTCCACGCCGTCGGGACTTGGGTTCATTAACCGCGTTCTGGAGTGTGCCTCGGCGGACGCAGCGCCCTGGTCTGGCCCGTGCCCGTTCTTACCAGGTTCTGGAGCGGAGTCCTCGGCATCAGGCTTCGAGCCGGTGTGTGCCGCTTCACTGGTCGCCTCCACCGCCGCCATCGCCTCGGGACTGTCGTACGAACCTTTGGTCAGTATTTGGGGCATTTTCCTCCGCGTGTACTCGTCCCGTTAACTCTGATCTCTGAAGTTGTTTGCGCGTGTTCTCCTTTCTCTGCTGCCGCGCGTCCCCCGCGTCCGCTCCGAAACACAACAGGGGTCCTAACCATAGAACATGGTCCTAACGCGTGACGTGTACGCCGTGGCAAAGATCGTCTGTGTGGACTGATGCCTGGACTGAGACCTGGACTGAGACAGTACTATGGAATTGATTTAATAATGCGCATTTGGTACAACTCCACACCCCCGTGTGCACAGTGACAACCTTTGAGCGTCAAATGTAAAAGCGTGTAGCTGACAGCGAACGCGAACGACGTGGATCAGACACGGAGCTTACGCAGCGCCTGAAGCGGGACTCGTGTGCGAGGAAGAGCTCCTGCTGCAGCAGCTGCTCCACGTGTTCTGTGCAGCCGCGTGTTTGGCTCCTGAACTCAGCGCTGGATCTAGTGATGAGACTTTGGGCTCTTTTATGGGATCCGAATAATTTGGGTCTGTTTATTTCAAAGAACCGTTCAGCAGACTTATTCTTTTGCTATTCATTTACAGAAAACAACAAAAGAAAGATTAGATTAAAACGGTTCAAATTGAGAGTGGGAGTGTGTTTACCCTGTGAAATTATGCATGAAATAAATATCACGTTGCACTACATTATTATTATTATTTCTACTATTATTAACGACAAACGTGTTTTTTGTGCAGAACTCTCGTGTTGCCTACTGCTTCGGTGCAGATTTTTGTGTTAAGCGTTAATTGGTTTAAAAATGCACAGCCACTGGTGAGAAAAATATTTGGATCCTTTAAAAATAAATAAAAATAATACACCTGTTCACATTAGCGAACCGTTCAAAAGAGTCGACTCCTTCACAAACATAACATCAGTAACTAGAACATAAGGACGAGGCATGCTCCACTCTCACCCCGCCTCCCAGCGCTTCTGTCCCTGGACATATACGCGGACGGATTAACCTAAATATAATGAAGTGTATCATATAGACTGTACAAGTAATCAGCAAGTAACTACCGATGCATTTCCTGTGTTCCGCTGCAGAGCGTGACGATAGACACGTGAAGACTCTGGAGAAACTGGGTTGTTTCATTCTAGCTCACTAACCAGCACACACATAATGTACTGTATACAGACTGGAGCATGCTCACCGGCACAACACAAACACAAACACAACTAACCTCTTATTGTACACTGCTAGGATATTGGAGTTTTTAATTACACCTGTGTGTTTGTGAACCCGACAGATAATAAATTGTATATATAAATAAATTTTCATTATTTTATATATGTCAAATGCCTAGTTTAGCTGCTGAAATGTGGTTGTTGGCAGAGTTTAGGTGTTTAGTCCTACTTTAAGTAGGTGTGTTTTAGAGGCTGAAATCTGCTAGGACACTACACAACAGGACAGATCTCACATTAATTTGAAATGTTCCACTGAATAAAACTACATCAAACTCGGTGAATGCATTCTCCTGTTTCCCTGCACATCGCGGACTCACCTCGTGTCACTAGAGCAGAGAAGTGACCCCGCGTCACCAGAGCAGAGAAGTGACCCCGCGTCACTAGAGCAGAGAAGTGACCCCGCGTCACCAGAGCAGAGAAGTGACCCCGCGTCACTAGAGCAGAGAAGTGACCTCACATCAAAGGTGTGCTTCTGGACTTGCAGGATATTAAAACACATTGGGTTCAATCAGTCATGAATGCACAGGTTTGAAAACACTGCCTCTCCCTTCATTCAGTTTAGGCTTTGATGTCCATAAAGGCAGGTGAAGGTGGCTTCAGTATTACTGGGGCATGCAGTGTGGTAGGACTGTCCGCCCGCTTCAGTCTTCACTGCTTTGCTTTGCTTCTCCAAGTATTTAACAGGACGCGTCAGTCAGAATACTCATGCTGAAATGGTTCTAAACTGGTAAATGTGATCTGATATGAGACAGCCCATATTGTGTGAACAGTAATATTTATTTTACATGATATAAAATTGATGGGTTATGAAGGCTTTGCATATTGACACTATTAATATAATCTCATAGTTCTATATTCACTCTCATTCTTTTGTGTACATAAATTAAGCTTAGGGTTTACACATTTACATTTATACAGACTGAAGTGTTCAGCTCGTGGGTTTGCTGTCCGCCTTATTGCTCATAAGGACCTTTGGTCCAGGCAGCATGTCCCTCTGTCCATTCAAACGGTCAATGTTAAAGATGAAATGTAACAAAAAACATTCAGAGTTGAGATTAAAAAATACAAATGTTATAAAGATTTGTAAAAATGAAGTGAGCAGCATGGGGTTCTGTACTAGTGAACATTCTATGGAGAAAGAGGCACTGATGATCCCTGCCCAAACGCCCCCTCCCCCCATGGAAGGCCTGGTATCCTCCACCCACACCCCCCCACAGTAGGCCCTATCCTGCATCCACACATGTGATCACACAGAGAGGGGAGCGAGGGGCCACATAGGGCTGTGTGCCCGAGTGGGCTAAGGGCCCAGGCTGAAGTGGATCCAAAGCACTGGTCGGTGTTCCTCTGGAGATGGTCTGCTGGGTCTGAATGTGTCCATGGAAAAGCTGAAGATGTGGAGTTGTGTGTTCATGTGTCGCTGCTCACCAGAGCCATGGTCTGTGCTGAGGAGAGAATAGACAGAGTAAAGGTGGTTACTTCACACTCTTTTGGTCAGGATTAAAAAAGCACAGTGCACACCTGCCAGACTTGAGAGATAAAATAAGAGCTACATAACACATTTGGGTTAGTTCTTTCTCATTTTTTCAGTTTAAACTAAATGTTGTAAGTGTCTTCTCTGGTATTGGTTGATATTGGATATCACCAGATACTTAAAACTATAGTATTGGAATCACTATCACAACTGAAAAAGCTGGATCAGTGCGTACCAGGCAGGAGGTTGTTGAGGTGGAGGTCGTCAGCGCTCAGCTCACTGTCCCCACCCTCCTCTGCTCTCAGCTCCTCTCTCACTTCTGCACTCCACTCAGCCTCTGGAGTCTGCAAGCTGAAACACAAACACTCGTTGATTTCATTTCAGATGAAACTCAAAGGTCTGTGTACCTCTTCATTAAACTGGAATGAAAATCAGAAGTGAGGCGTGTGTGGCATTTGCCACTGAAGGCAGCACACACCCATTTCTAGATGATTTTACAACAGAAAGGTGCAAATTATGTTGGGTTTGTACTAAATGACTAGAGCAATGCTCTTAAAATGCAGTGTACACAGTACAATGGCAAAGGAATAGTAGGCAAGAAAGTATATTAGTTTAAAAGGCTAAATACATTGTAATCTGGCAGTTAATTTTCATGTTCATATCACACATCTTTACGTGGGATTACAGACCCAGACTGCTACTGTGACGTGACCAGAGCTGACTCACCTGTGCTCTGAAGGAGAGGTGGCGGAGCTCAGATCTTCAAACGGCTGCAGCTCCACCACCTTCACCGTCCGAGGCAGCTCCAGGATGACTGCAGTCTGCCGCTCACCCTCCTGCACACAACACACATGTCAACCAACAGTTATTCAACTATTATCGGCATTTCAGAACATGTTTTTAGAGGCTGCAGAAAGGCTCAGGTCACCACTGTCAATTTAAATCTAAATGGTACTGAATAGTTGTTGAATAGAGTAAAAAAAGTATTTGCACTCTACCAAACAGCAGTATTGTAAATAGCATCTAATAGTGGTATGTGTGAATGCAACAGGGCCTGGCCCCAGGACTTAAATGTAACTGTTCATAGAAGAGATGGTCAACATGTGCTTTTGTCACTTGTAGAATTAGGCATATTGTATTAATCCACAAGGGAAATGACTTGGACACAGTAGCTCATATGTCACAATAAATATATGAACAAAGAGCAACAATAAAAATGGTAATAATAAATTCTAAATAATTAGCAAAAAGAGATGGTGTCAAATAAAGCATAATTATATAAATGTATATGTACAGGTTAAAATAAAGAAACCCAAAACATGCTACATGGGTCTCCAGGAAGAACAGTTGATAGTTAAGGTCAATTAAAATACAATCAATCAATGAACCTGCCCAGGGACGACAGGTGGAAATGAGCACTGATGACCTGGTAAAAGCATCTCTCCTGTTAAGGTTCATGTAAAAAATGTGCGCTGTCCCTGTCTCATTAAATAAATAAATAGAATAATAAAGTAATACATTTCTATATTTTTATTTGTCCTTGTACATATACATTTATATATACCTTGTGGATAAATAAAGTTTGTCTAAGTCTACATCTACTCACAGTAGAAAAAACAACCCAAACGTTTACTCAAATAGGAGTACTGTTACAATATATTACTCAGTTAGGAGTAAAAAGTATGTCTGGAAACTACTCAGAGGAGCACGGTGCTCCTCTGAGTAGTTTCCAGACATACCTATTTAAAAAGTAACAGAGTATTTCCCCTCTCTGTTACCATGACATGAGTGTGCATCACAGGTCTTTAGAGTGGTGTTACAGTTCTTCTGGGGGGCTCAATCTAACACATGTGGGCGCGACTTGTGAGACCAAAACTACTTCCAATCATTGTGGGGAAAAAACAGCCATGGAGGATCATCTGAAGGTGAAGATCTCCAACATGAACTCTATGACTTTTATATCAAGCAAGGACTGTGCATTTTATGAACTAAAATTAAAAGCAAACAAAAATATGGAGCACTTATGGGCCTCGTGATGAGCTGAAGCGCTGAGGTGATGTACATGACGAGCTACGCAATGGCACAAGCCCCACCCACAGAGTGCACGGGCTGCTTGGAGAGGCCCCGGTTCTGATGAAATGACTGTGTGAACAGCACCAAGCATGATAAAATGTCAAGTAATTTGCGTCACTGAGATTGTAACAAGTCATATATTGCTGATTTTCATCTTGGTAATGTGTTATATTGCTGCATTACAGAAAAATTAAATATATATACTATAATTTGTTAACGTTGTAGCAATGTGTTACTCGTAACACTGAGTTTCATAGGAGATATTTGACGAGGAAACCTACGCAGGCACAAGGGGGAGCATGTAAACTTCACACAAAAAGGCCCAGAAGTAAAAAATCACGTTATTAGTAGTGAAACATAGGAAGTAGCTTTGTCCTGACAAGCCACGCCCACATGTTTTGGACCCAGTGCCCCCAGTTAACAGCGCCCCCAGGAGGAGAGTGTTGGGACAAACCTCTGTGGTGGGGTCTTTGCTTTCGCTCAGCTGCTGGAGCTCTTCACTGTGTGCCGCTCCCTTTGAACAGCCCCTGTCCTGCACCTGGAGCACCAGCCCAGGGAAACAAAGCATCATTCACCATGTTATCATGCACAGGCAACTCAGGTCTTTGCCACTCTGTTCCAGTCTACAGCAGGTCCAACCAAACAGGTGTGAACGGAGGACTACGAGGCATCGCAGCTTTCATACATATAACCAGACTTTTGACAGAAATATTGACATCTTATTTACACTGAGCATTTGATTTTCAGCCACGAAGAACTGTGTTAGTCACAAGTTATTTGCTGTCCACTGCATATATAAACACTGAAGCTCCGCTAAGTTTTATTTTCACTTTAATGCAGCGGACCAAAAAAAAACATGTGCTCAGAGGAGAGGGAAAAAATGAGTAAATGTCCAAGCACATGTCAAAAAGTTTCCTGGTTGTTTCTTAACATGAATGCCTCTCTTAGTCTGTGCCTAGTGTAAGTCTCACTGGTTACATGCATGCAGGTTATAGGGATCTTTGAGATTCAAATCACAACGCCTCAGTCCCAATTCCCAGCTTTACATGCATTTTGAAAAATCTGAATAAAATTGGACTAGGCCAGTAGTCTGGTTTCCCGGGTGTGCATGTAAATGTAGTGAGTGTTAGAGGTTGGAGGTAGGAGGTAGGGTGTGGGGTGTAGGGTTAATGGGATAGGAGAAAGTCTGAACTTTTAGGGGCTTACCTGCACCTGCTCTGGCACCAGGGCCCCTCCCTCAGACAGGGACTCACTCATATCCTTCAGACGCTGCAGTGCTGCTTCCAGCCCACAGGGGTCAGTGCACGAGCCCTCAGTCTGCCCTCCACTCTGTACAGGAGATCAGGACAAGTCAGTTAGCAGAGTTAGTTTAAATGGACCATTGGGACGTGGAATCAAAAATAAGATGTAAATCAGGCCATAGCTAAGAGACCTGCTGTGTGTGCATTTTTCACTTCTGCAAACAGAGCTATTGGATTTCACGTGAACATTCTTTATCCTTTAGTGATGAATTGAGGTGGGGGCAGAGAAAATGCGCGGGCTTGAGTCAACAGAGCTGCTGCAGTTGTCACAGTCCCAGCATTGCATCTCCAAACCCATCACGGCAGAGATAGTGGCAGAGAATTCCCATAGACTAGCTGCGTCTGGCAGAATGAGCAAACTTTATGGGAGTTTCGTAGACTGTGGATTATTGTTGCACACTGGGATGTAGCATTATCAAGTGTAGAAGAAAGCCTGAGCCAGACTGACACGAGAACTTAGTTGGCTAATCAAGACATACATTAATTTAGATAGGATTTCATTTTTGCATTGATACTGGTAGTGCATTTATTTGGGGAATGATTTAACCATTGTCTCATAACAAGTCCAAAACTGTATGTTAGGGTGGTCCAATTTTTTCCCCCTATTCTCTATATTAGAACCCTGCATCTGGTTCCATTTCTGGCCAAAATATGTGAGTCCAAATCTTATGCAAATGAATATTTGGAGGTTGCTCAAGACACTTACAGGGCCTATACTATAAGATAGAACCAAATAAATAAGGCATATTCAAATCATTTGTTATTTTATTCTGGAAACACCAATCTGAAACTTGCATAAAAATGACTTAAAAAGTCCATAAAGTCCAGAAAAAGTCAAGTCCAGCTCCACTGTGTCTTTGTTGGCTTTGTCACTAAAGATGTGCCTTTGCTCTTGTTTCCTGTTTCTCATCTTCATTCTTTATTCAGCTACAGTTAAAATCTTGAATAAGCTTCACCTCCTTTCAGTAGCATTATTGAAACTTTCCTGGAATGCAGAGTTTTATCAGCTTCTGAAAGTCTGCATCATCAGCCCAGTCTGCTGGAGAACTGTTCAAAACTGTTTTTAGCAGATCAAGAGCTTTGAAGGAACACATCGTACTGGTGGTGACGAAAATCCCTGATCTGCTTCTCATCATAATCTGCTTGATTCAGAGCATCACGTCGCTTTGGTGGAACCTCTGAACCTTCCTTTTCCATAATATTGTGAAGTATCATCTTCTCCTGTTCTTCTGTCACACTGGAGTGGATGAATGACAGGACTTCACTCAAATACCACAGATATCACCTGAAACCTGTTAAAGCTGCTTTCTTGACAACTGAATTTTCAGACTGTCACCGCTTCAAAACCAAATCATCTGCAGGAGCTTCAACACTTCATGCAGAAACTTCATGCAGCTTGAGCAACCTCTAAAACATCTTTTTTTTTTTCCAAAATAGAGAAAACAAAAGCTAAAACCTATTGCAGTGTTCTAATGGAGGTTATCTGAAACTTTATTTTTTACCATGCTTGAATGGACCATCCTACATGTATGTTTGTGTATTGTTAATTAGCATTAGTCTGTTCAATACAACAATAACCAACATTGTCAAATTGTGTGATATTTTATATCCATGACAAAAGGAGAAATTTGTCATTCTACCTGGACTATAGGGTTTGTAAACACAGTGATATTGTATCGTCAAAGCACTCACAGTAATATCATGAACACAATATATCCAATTGCAAGGTTTTTCACTTAAAAGTAATGAACAAGAGAAAACTGCATAGGCCATGATCTGTTACTTAACTTACTACACAGCAGAATAACATTATTAAGCACTTTTACATTTTATTTCTTTGGAGTATGACAGTAATGATTCACACTGAAAACTTGTCAAGGTATTTAAAAAGGAAAACATGTACAATTCTGTTAACCTCTCCAAAATATCGCACTAATTATCGTACCGTGAGATGCATATCATGATAATACAGATGTGGACAAAAATAGTTGGTACCCCTCTGGCAATGAAAGAAAAATCAACAATAATTACTGAAATAACTTGAAACTGATAAAAGCAATAATAAATACAAATTTACTGAAAATTGTCCAACAAAAATCAAACATCGTTTTTCACCTGTGGTTCAACAGAATTATTAGAAAAAACAAAATAATGAATCTGGCCTGGACAAAAATGATGAGGCAAACTCTGGAAACTCTCAATTTCTGTGACTGTCAATGAGACTTCTGATTTGGTCAACAGGTATTCTGACCCACTCCACGTGAGCAAACTGCTCTAGTTGACGTTTGAAGGGTTCCTTCTCCAGACGCATGTTTCAGCTCCTTTCACAAATGTTCAATAGAACAGATCTGGACTCACAGAAGAAAACTCCAGAACAGTCCAATGTTTTGTTCTTAGTCATTCTTGGGTGTTTTTAGTTGTGTGTTTTGGGACATTATCCTGTTGGAAGACCCATGACCTATGACTGAGACCGAGCTTTTTGACACTAGTCTACACATTTTGTTCCAAAATACCTTGATAGTTTTGAGATGTTGTTGTAACTTGCACAGATTCAAGACGCCCTGTGCCAGATGCAGCAAAACAGTCCCAGAACAAAACCAAGCCTCCTCCGTGTTTCACAGTAGGGACAGTGTTCTTTTCTTGGTCGGCTTCATTTTTGCATCTGTGAACATAGAGCTGATGTGTCTTGCCAAAGAGCTCCAGTTTTGTCTCATCTGTCCAAAGGATATTCTCCCAGAAGCCTTTGTCAATATGCATTGTGGTGAATTCCATCTTAGTGTTTTATGATTTGCTCTCAGCAGTGGTGTCCTCACATGAAGTCACTTTGGCTCAAACACTGATGGATGGTGTGATCTGACACTCATGTACTTTGCCCTTCAAGTTCACATTTAATTTGTTTGGAGGTTGTTCTGGGCTCTTTGGTTCCATTCGTATCTCTTCAATTTGTCGTCAGTTTTCCTCTTGCAGCTGCGTCCAGGGAGGTTGGCTTCAGTCCTGTGGACCTTAAACTTGTGAAGAACATGTGTAACTGTAATCACAGGAACATCAAGCTGCTTGGAGATGATCTTATTGTCTTTATCTTTATCCTGCTTGTCTGTCATTTTCTTTCTAGTCTCCTGACACAGTTCTCTTCTTCTCTTTCTCTGGTCCATGTTCAGTGTTGTGTCCATCATGTCTCCAAACAGACACATGTCGCCCTTTAAACAGACACACTGACTGAGGACAAGTTTGAAGAACCTGTGATGCAGTTGTTCAGTTGTGTCTAGAAGTGGCACATTGAACTCTTGGTTCGTTCCTCGTCGGCGTGGAGTGATGAGTGTGTCTGTGGGTGTGTTTCGCTGTGTGGTCGCTCTCTGCTCCGTGTGTGTTTGTGTGTTCTGCAGGTGGTGCGGCTTTGTAGTTTACTGAAGTCGTGCTGGGACACCTGAGTGAATTTGTGTATAAGGCGCTCTGGATTGTGGGGCGCGCAGTCGTTTTTTGATGAAGTTAGAGGCTTAAGAGCGCGTCTAATAGTGCGGAAAATACAGTATTCCTGTTGAACAACAATTCAGAAACAGTGTCTGATTTTGTTTGGTTATTTTTCAGTAAATTTTTATTTATTCTTGCTTTTCTTAAGTTATTTCAGTGATCATTGTTGATTTTTCTTTCATTACCAGCGAGGTACCAACAGTTTTGTCCATGACTGTATCGTGAGGCATTTGGATATCATTACATGCCGAGTAGATTGTGGAGAATGACACAATGACAAGTTAAATCAATGTTTTTTTTTTTTTTTTTTAATTGGTTTAGCTGCTGAGTAGGCTACAATATCTGCACATTAGTTACAGAATCATTTTTTCATTATTTTAGTAGGCTCACACTATTTTAAAGACTCTTTTTTTTTTCTATTCTAATCTATGACACCATGGATCAAGTCATTATAATTTGGACATTTTAAATCGCAGTATTCATCTAAAATGTGGTCATAAACGTCATCACAACAAAGCGCCACATGCTATGGATAGCTGCACATCATATTAGTGAGCAGAAGATTTTTTTTTTTTTTATTTGCACCAAAAAGACAACAAAACACTGCTGAATCCTACATGAATCAATGAAGTAAAATTGGAGAATGAAGTAAGTATGTCACAGTGGGTGTTTAGGAGAAATTTGGAAACATGGCGTCTTCAAAATAAGGGATTAAAGATTGCTCAAACTTGCATGACTTGTCACTCCAAATACAACCTGAAGTGGGTAAAGGAGAAGGGGAAACAGATATAACGTGGTTAAAAGCTCTGAGAGGTCCATTTTGCATAATAGGTCTGTTTTAACCGTCAGTATGAGTAAAAGTTATAGGCACAGGGCTTCATAATTAGTATGTGCATGTGTGTATGTGTGCGGGAGATCAGACTTGTGTGTGTGTGTGTGTTCAGACCTGTGTTCCAGGAACCGGCACCAGGTCGCGGTTGAACGACGAGGAGCGGGACAGCCTGCTCCTCCTGAGGGTGGAGGCTTCCTGGTTCCTCCTGATCCTCTCTAGCTGCTCCTCCACACTCATGCGACTCCTGCCCAGCTCCCGCTCCCCGAAGCTCCCTGCCTGGTCCAGAGCACTGTGGGGCCGCTCCTGCACACAAGCATGAGGGATCGCCATATTAGACTACAGCAGGTGTCTGTCCACTGTCTCAAGAGCCACATGTGGCACTTTGATCAGCCTCTGGTCTGCCTCTTTGCACTTGGACTGAAAAAAAGTTTAGGGAAAAAAAAGATTGATTTGGAGGAGGAACAGAGTATGAACAACCACACTCCAAACTCCGCCCCTGCAGCCCAACGCTAATCAGAAACACCTGGCTGTAGTCAGGGCAGTACTGTGTGATGTCACATAGTACTCGAAATTACAGTGGCCACTTGAAGGCAGCACACATTCAGGTATTTTGATCAGAACCTAGTTTGTACTAAAGTTTTGTACACAGTTTAGTAGTGAAAAAAGTGGATTTAATGCCTCTTCCACTATAATTTATATTTTGTTTTTGTGGAATAGAAAGTCCAAGACTGGTCGCTCAGTTATAGATAAAACATAAAAATGCCCCAGAATGTAAGAAACAATACGCCATTATGCTCAAAAGCTGGAGAACCCCCAAACCCCCTCGCATCTGCAAGAAAATCGAGCAAGCTGATCTTTACAAATGTTACTGATTAAAAGCAGAAAAAAATGGACCTACTTCTTTTATATTAAATTAATCAAACTGAATTCATTGTATTGATCACTTTGTTGTGTCATTGGTATTCTGACTTTCATTTGGTTTGTAACAGGTCACTGTGGTTATTTTGCTGTTTAAGGTCCTGTATTATACAAAATTGACTCTTGTGAGCTTTAAACCATGTTGTTACCTCCTCAAAAACAGAGTTGGCCTGGAGTTGTGTTTTGTTACATTCACACGTAACCCTTATTGGTTTGTCTATATCTCCAAAGCTCAAAATGCTTTGAATCATCTTGTGATGTCATGAAGCAGTAGTTTACATTAACAGCTACCTTGAAATTTTCCCAATCTCTAGTAAACAAAAGGTATTATTTACTAAAATCAGGGCTGAAATTATCCAGTGGTTTTAGTGAAGGTGTATGGAGTTAAAAAAGACAACAAAGCACTTCCTGTATTACCACATTACATCATAAGGTGGAACTAAGTGTTTTCTGCTTGTGAAAAGAAATCAGCCTAAATATGCAGGGTTTGTATGTTAAACTTGTATGAATGAAACAAAACACAAGTCCAGGTATGTCGAGGAGTTCTTCAGAACTGAAGCAGCAGCTTGGATGAGCTGCCAACCGTCTTCAACCTCACCTAACCTTCAACCTAACTAACTTTTGTCCAGTTGACAAACTGAATTTCTCCTCGACATGGATTCTACCTGGACGACTGAGGGATTCTTTACACACAAGTCCAGGTACTTTTTTAATGAGGAATAAGGACATAAATAAAGCATAATGTGTTTAGGATCTATCTTTTCATTTATTGGATGTAAAAAATACTATTTGGGATCACGATTATTGTACCAGGATCCGGTCAAGCAGAAGTAAACAGCAAGGCCAAAAATTCAAGTTAATGCATCTGATATAAAAATGTATTCAACAGATACATATGTACTCTAGTTTATGAAACTGTTGACCTTTTTTCTGTACCATTTTTGGTTCTAAAGTTCCATACGTTTTAAACAGACCATGTATGAAACATGGAACAAAAATTATTTCCCAAATTTCAAAGACCTGCAAATCATGCCAATAAATGGATGTATTTCATCATATCTTGTGTTATTCCATCTTTGAACTGTTGATGAAGGGACATGATTTAAAAAAAATAAAAATGTATTTAAAATGATAAAAAATTGCTTGGAAGGACTGACATATTTTATAGAAATAGTTTCCTTTTAATTTTGAAGTAATATTAAAGTATTTGGAAGAAAAAAGTTGACAAATGATGTAAAATCCTGCACCTTCTACTTGTTTGTACAATTTTCCCTCCGTTACCATGACCTTTCTTAATAAAAAAATCTCATGACTCAAAAAGTAAGAGGTTTTTCAACCTAATCTTGTACCATATGGTAGAAACTATATGAAGCAAATATTCAAACCAGTTTGTTAAGGATATGTAAGTGAGAACCAAGAGTTATCACTGTTTGGATTTATTGCCCAAAAAGTGCTGCATATTTCATTCCCTCTGTTACCGACATGAGTTTTTAAAATTTTTGTCAACAACTTGAAAAAATATGACAGGTTTAACTTGACCCTGTTGGAGTGTAACTCTTTCCTACATTCTGATACTTTACTTATTTCAATAGTTCCTCTAGTTTCTGAATAAGACACATTTGAATGTCAAAAATCTGCCCCTGTTTCCCTCTGTTACTGCTTGACCGGACCCACCAGTTACGTTAGAGTATAAAATTGTCATTAAAGAGACCCTATAATGTTCCAAAGTTTTGCTTGAGGACACTGTGCCTTGTTGCCTGAGACAGGGCCTCGGTCAAACTTATTGTGAGACCCCTGGACTAGAGCCAGACCGTGTGGACTTCTGTATAGAGCATTTTCTCCAGCTTTCTGACTTTACTTTTGTAATTATGAAACTTGACCTGGCAAGCACTACAATACTAACATGATTTCTTATGTAGCAAGCTGGTCCATGTGAGTAGAGTAGGATTGTGAAAAGTAATTGAAATACTACTATAATCCTATAAACTAGAGACAAAACTCGATACTCATTTGAGTAGGCATCAATGTAATACATGAAAAGTCACATTCACAGGACAGAAATGTACCTTTCCTGAACAGCTTTAAAATGATCTGAGGTAGGAGTGGGCGATATCTCGATATTTTAAAAATATCGAGATATTTCTTAAACTCAGTTTGAATCCTGACTTATCGTATATATCGATATAATGCTTATATTCAGTTCTGATTTTGCCTCCGCCTCTCTGATTTTGCTGCTTGTGTCTCATTCACTTCTCACTGCTGCTGTGAACGCTGAAGGTTGGTGTCAGTGAAAAGCTTCTAGCACCACGAACAGACAAGATCATTTACAGACAAGACCATCAGCAGCACATCCTCTGTCACAGAGAGAACACTCATATGAACACTGAGTCGTGTCCTTTAGTCTGAAAGAAGCTGAATCTGCATCAGTGCACAAGGAAAGAGCTGTTTATGCAAATGAGCCATGTGCTGTTTGTTTCTGTAAAACGTAAACACATGTGTGCATAACTGCATTAAACACATTATAATCTCACACGGGCTGATGTGGCTCTAGAGTCGTTATGTTTATATGTTGTAAAGTTTAGTCATGTAAAGTTTATTTATGCAGAAGATTTTAATGAATAATCTGCTGCAGTGTCACTTGTACAACAGTGTTTGGAAACGTTCAGTTTGATTTGCAGTGGATTGTGGGATTAAACCTCAGAGCTCCTTACTGCTGGATAAGAACATGGATCTGTTCAAATAATGAACCTCCCAATTAGGGATGGGCATTCGATGAAATTTTCTTAATCGATCGTCGGAAGAATTAACGATCGATTATCGATTAATCATTAACGTTTTTATATTAAAATGATCATCATTATTATTACTACCTGTACTACTAATCTGCATAAATAAATTTAACTTTACGACATATAAACCATAACGACTCTAGAGCCACATCAGCCCGTTTGACATTATAATGTGTTTAATTCAGTTTTGAGCAACTCTCACAGAAACAAAACTTAAAACCGCATCGCTAATTTGCATAAACTCAGCGAAGATAAAACTATAGCTCTTGTGCACTGATACGGCCAACTTCTTTTGGATTAAACGACATGACTCAGTGGAATACAGGTTAGTGTGACCAGATTTGCGTTTGTCAAAACCAGGACACTGTACGGGGGGAGGGAGGTGGGGACTCGTCATCGACATTGAGCGACTCTCACCTGGCAAAGTTTTTTCCCACTGGACACAGAAACATATGTGCTGTTTTATACACTGTGCACATGGACTCACACTTGTCCCAAACGCAACGGAAAGTGTGGAATTTCTTGTACAAATCATCGTTGCACATCGTTCGCATTTGTGCTTCGGCACGTTGCAGACTGACCCACTGTTTGTGTCTCGCTCCTTCTGATGCAGAGACACATGTACACACCTGTTTGGTCACGCTACACACAGAAACCTACAATCGGTTTGTCGATTAAAATGAACTTAATCGATGAAATTCTTAATGATCAATTATCGATTAATCGACTAATCATGCTCATCCCTACTCCCAATCTTGAATGAAAAGAAGGAAATATGTATTATTTCTTTTATTTTACAGTTAAATTATTACTTATGTAATTAGGAATTTTTGTAAGCTTAAATGTGGCAGAAGCCACATTGTGGAATTTAGCAAATTTTTTTTTTGCAGTTTTCAGTTTTAGGGGCTTATTTTTTCCTGTACAGATATCGAGATATATATCGTATATCGAGATATGGCAAAATATATTGAAATATATTTTGATCTATATCGTCCAGCTGTAATCTGAAGTATATCAGAATTAGTATAAAACCACATAGACAAGTATATGCCCATGGACCACTATGGAACCTACAATTATGACTGAGGGATAATAAACATTAGGCCACAGTACAAAAGAACGTAAAAAAGCAAAAGAAAGTACTGTGATTTAATGTTGAAATCACATTCTATGGTCTAAAGAGTGTTTTCTATGATTATTGTGATATTGGTATCAAAATTGGTAATGAGTATCAAATATATTCCTTAGCATCGAAATCAAGTAGGTGAGGTGAGGAGACACATACCGCTCGAGGCTCCAACTTCTTGCTCTTCCTCAGGGTCACATATGAAGCAATGGTGCTGGATTCTGGGGCACTGATGCTGCACTTGGTCCTGGGGGGGACGATGCCCACCGGACAAGGTGGAACTGCGGAGACAGAATGTACTCAGCACTGTCGTATCAAATGTGTGATAAATGAGAATACCAAATATGTCACCAATTTCAAAAACCTCTCACCGTTGCAAAGAGGGCCAGTGGGTTTCCCTGGTCTTCATGCTTTAGTGAATAACTGAGATGGCAGGCCAAATGTGTATTGTGAGTTTTATCGTGTGTGGTAGTATAGCATATATAAAAATATGATTTGTGATGCATCTTCCCTTTGGACATTTAGTATTCAAATAGCATACTGGATCTCTTCTGCATTGAGGAGCTATGCATACCTTTGGAGACTGGGGTGTCCCTGCGCTCTGAAGCTCCAGTCCCTCCTCGCTCCTCTGGGTGGGGCTCATCAGGCTCCTCCTCCTTCACCGTGGTCAGCTCTGGCTCACTCTTGTACAGTCTGTAGTCTGGGCCCTGCTGCAAAGCCAAACAAGCCTTCAGAAGGAAGCACTCACACAAACCAGGAGGGCACGGCCACAGCAAAGACAGACAAACGCATGGCTCATGATGAAGTACTTTCACTTCATTTAGTCACTTCACATAGTCTTAAAGCACACATGCAGAAAACATGAGGTGAACAAGACAAGGGGTTCAAACAGACAGTCCAACTGTCCATTCTCCACTGTGGACTTAACCTGCTCTGTCAGCAGCCCGCTGTTATGCTATTCTATTCACATGGTAATCAGACTTTGTGTAAAACTTTTTGTCTCATAAATAACATTGTTGGAGCTTGAAACAGTTGGGTCACCTCTCTGTACCAGAACTCTCTTTCCCAGAGTTTCGACACGTGTAAAGTAAACCTTAAGGTGACTCACTCTGATCAGGTCCTGATGCTAAATGCTACAGAACATAAGGGCTTGATGAAACAAAGTAAAATGGTGGGCAAGGACAAACAAAAACTTGACCAGAGCTATGGTATTTTTCCCTTAGCATTATGACTGTGAATGGATTTGATGGCGTGAAAAAGGGAACGCAGGGCTGATCTTACACTCTGTGCTCCGCTCCGGGAGCCAGCTGTCCTATCGTCCGAGCGGGCCGTAGGGTGGGGGTAGTGGTGGGGCAGGGGTGGGCGAGGGGGCACCGGCTCCCCCTCCTGCAGGGGACTGAGGGGCAGCAGCACTGTCTGTCAACACCAAACACAGCCTCACAACAGCGTGCACAGATACAAGCATCCAGAACTCCAGCACGCCAAGAGGACCATGTGTTATTACCACACCCTGAACAACAGAAAAGCTCCACAGACACGCTTTTACCATCATGTACTTGGAATCCACGTGTGCAGCACAACTTTGCACCCTGGACCCAAACCCGGCCTGACCACAGAGCAGTAGATACTTCCCCAGCTCAGCTCCATTTGTGTGTGTTGGGTTTTAGTAACAAAGATTTCAAAAAGTGGTCCACTGAAGGTTTCAGTTATTCTTCTATCCAAGTCTTTTTCACTTCTGGAGCAAGCACTGGTTTGAGGGCTGAAATGATCCTGCTGAGGTGTAATCTAGAACAATGTCAGGCTAAAGAGCGCTTACCTCGTTTTTGGATATGCTGGACAGGGGTTTGGAGCTTGGGAACAGGTCTGTGAGAAAAAGCTTGGATTTAAACTAAAGAAGCGCACACACTTTGGATTACAGTCAGAGAACGTGCAGACATACTGTCGCTGGGAGCCTGGGACTTGTGTTTGGCCAGAGCCTCCATCACGTCCTGGATCCTCCACAGCTCCTTCTGGATCTGGATGTGTCGCTGACTTGGTGGCTCGGTCTGCATGCACAAACGCACACATGTTCTCACTACAAGTCATTTGACCCACCAACCCACCAACAATGCCATATGATTCATGATGTGATCATCCTGTGATCCAGTCATGGGACCAGTCGTATGACAATCATGTGACTCACCTGTGGACTGCCCAGTGCCTCCAGCTGCTGCAGCAGGTTGGCCTTGGCCTGGCTCACGTCGCCCTCTAGCCGCTGATACTCCTGCTTCGAGAGCTGCAGCTCCTGCACATCCATCACATTCATGAAACCAGATTCTGAAAACATTCAGCTCCACACTCGCAAAAATGACACCTAAAATAACATTGGAATATATAAATGAACATTCTCACCGCTATGACACGGTTGAGCTCGCGGCATGTGCTCAGCAGCCCCCCCTGCAGGACATCTCTCTGCTGAAGCAGGCTTTGAGCCTGAGCAGAGTGCAGGTTCTGCTCATTCAGCTCCTGACTGGCCGACAGGAGCGCCGTCTCCAGTGTGTGCTGCTCACCAAACAAACCAAATAAAGACAAACGCAAGTTTACCTTCATGGAGCTTTTCAAAAGTCTTCACACATGCCCATGGTAGTGATTCACTGAAAGCCCTCTCATATGAATATATCCCTGAAGACCCTCTCTCATATGATTATATCACTGAAGACCCTCTCTCATATGAATATATCACTGAAGACCCTCTCTCATATGAATATATCACTGAAGACCCTCTCTCATATGAATATATCACTGAAGACCCTCTCATGTCACACAGTACCTTCTCACGGTGCAGTTGCTGCACCTTCTCCTCATGTGTCCTCACCACCTTGTCTTGCTCACACAACCGGCTCAGCTTGGTCTGAAAAAAGCACATTTGTCACATACACATTATTTTTGTCAGTGTCTACAACCATTGTTCCATAGGATAATGGTATATAATACTGTCCTCAGGGCCTGGAGCATACAGCCTAAATTTAGTGCACAAGGTAGGGCTGGGCGATATGGAGCAAAAAATATATCTCGATATATTTTGCTATATCTCGATATATGATATATATCTCAATATGTGTACATGAGAAATAACCCCTCAAAACTAATTCAAAAACAAATATGACAAATTCCGCAAGGTCTTATTTATTGAACTGCAAGAGTTCGGCAGTTCATGTAGGAACAAAGTGCTTCAGCCACATTTAAGATTACAAAAATCCCATATTACATAAGTAATAATTTAACTGTACCTATTTTCTTCCTTTCATTCATAAATAAAACAACAACAACTCAAGCTCATCTTTGCATTAACTCTGTTAACCGTATAATAACCATGAGTAGCAGAGGAAGATTGGGAGGTTCATTATTTGAACAGATCCATGTTCCTATCCAGCAGTAAGGAGCTCTGAGGTTTAATCCCACAATCCACTGCAGATCAAACTGAACGTTTCCAAACACTGTTGTACAAGTGACACTGCAGCAGATTATTCATTAAAATCTTCTGCATAAATAAACTTTACATGACTAAACTTTACAATATATAAACATAACGACTCTAGAGCCACATCAGTCTGTGTGAGATTATAATGTGTTTAATGCAGTTATGCACACATGTGTTTACGTTTTACAGAAACAAAAGCACATGGCTCATTTGCATAAACAGCTCTTTCCTTGTGCACTGATGCAGTTCAGCTTCTTTCAGACTAAAGGACACGACTCAGTGTTCATATGAGTGTTCTCTCTGTGACAGAGGATGTGCTGCTGATGGTCTTGTCTGTAAATGATCTTGTCTGTTCGTGGTGCTAGAAGCTTTTCACTGACACCAACCTTCAGCGTTCACAGCAGCAGTGAGAAGTGAATGAGACACAAGCAGCAAAATCAGAATTGAATATAAGCATTATATGGACATATACCATAAGTCAGGATCCAAATTGAGTTTTAAAAATATCGAGATATATTGAAAATATATCGCCCACCCATAGCACAAGACCAAATAAACTGAAGAAGCAGCTCGGATCAGCTGCGAAATGTATTCGACCAAATTAACTTTTGTCCAGTTGAGAAATTGACTTTCTCCTTTTGCCAAGACCAAATAAACTTTCATCTGAAAACTAATCCTTTTTGGCAAACAGAAAATTGTCTTACATCGATGTCAGGATCTTCAGTGTCACTGACCAGGCTCTTGATGGCCTCTGGGCTGATCTGAAAGACAATGAGGACTTTTTAAAATGCTGACGTAACACAGGATGCATGTTGTATATGGCAACCAAAGATGAGTCATGAGTGTGTGTAATGAACAGGTCTGATTTAACACTGATGATCTAGAGTCAGGGCTGTAGATGGAGCACAAAACAGGACTGGTCCTGGACATCTAGAACCTGAAGACAGGCACTGCACTGGTGAATGTGAGGACGGCAAACTCAGCGGGGCTTACATGACCATGAGGGCAGGGCTTACATGACCGTGGGGGGCGGAGCTTACATGACCATGAGGGGGCAGAGCTTACATGACCATGGGGGGAGGAGCTTACATGCTGGTAGAGCTGCGGTCTTGGTGCAGAGTTCTCAATCATTGTGTGAATCATGAAGATTAGAGGCTCGTTGTCCTTTTTCTGCCCAGTGCAGCAGAGAGAGACAGACCAGTGAGAGTCAGTGTCCACATGTGGACACATGTGGACACATGTGTCCACATGTGTCCACATGTGCACAAACGCAGTGTTTTCCATCAGTGCATATGCATATGAACTACACTAGAGGATACCACCATGTTCTAGTCAAGGCCCTATTGAGTCATTTAGCAGTGATTCAATTATTTCAATTATTTAACTGAAAATGTCCAAGAATAAGACAATAAAATACTGTAACAAATCATATTTAACCTGCTTTAACATGTTTGTTAATGTTAACTTTGCGGGGCCAGTACCGAGGTGGTGGCATTGTTATTTGGAGGTAGAGAAGCTCAGCCTTATAGGTCAAAGTCAAGTACAGGTCATCAGCTCCAAGTCTAAGACATGGTCGTTACTATGAAGCTGCAGCAAAGAGTCAAACTGTAGCAAGAACCGGAGCAAACACAACCAACAGAAGAACCTGGTGAAGACGTGAACATATTGTTGATGACGTCGCCTGGCTGTCCACTTATGGAGAAGTGTCCTACAGTTTTATGACAGGGAGAAGAACAGTGTTAGGCTGACAGGGCCTCACCTGGCTGTCCAGGTAGCGCAGACTCCTCTGCAGATGGTGTGAGAGAACATCTGTCTGCTCAGAGCAGCAGGAGGAAGAGGACAAGCACAGTGAGACCTCAGGACACAACCCTACTCTTGCCACACGCTTGAATCCATCAAGTGCCCAGCCATGTCAAAGCAATGTCAATGTCACTATGGCAACCACAACAGTACAGCCCTGAGCTACTCATGAGATGAGGACAAGCAACACCTACTATGTTACTATGGCGATTTTTTTGGGTTGGATTTCACTGATTGCAATAAAAGACCTTATCTTGGCCTGTCGCAATAATGACTATATCTGCTATGTCGTTCAGTATATGAAAACTGGAACAATAGATTGTGTGTATATTTCTTTGCAATAGTGGAGAGATTTCTGCCATTTTTATTTAATGCAATACAGTTTGAGCTATAGAGGATACAATAACTAACTTCTATTGCTAAATATTGATTGATTCTATTATGTATTTGTTGCAGCTCAAACCTTTTAATGCTGTATATTTAAAACTGATTTATTGGAATTATCCAGTTTTGTATCAGTGGCATTAAGTACTTTAAATATCATCTTTTATTGCAATATTTCTCTTTAGCAGTATAGCATTCTTCAAAATGTATTATCATCATGGACCTAACCTTATCACTAAAATAAATGATCAGGGTCAGTATGCAGAGTGACCCTCCCCCCACCTGACAGGGTCATCAGCTCTACATTCTCACAAAGGCCAGTGCAAACTCTGGAGCCCCCTGGTGGTGGGAGGAGCTCCTTCATGACTCTGAACATGGAACATTGTCCTTCTCTGTTCTCCACAGAACACCAGTCTCACATGGGCATGCACACTCATGCAAAAGCACTAAGCACAGTCCTCCACCAGCTACAGAGCTCCTGCAAACCCAGGCCACTCAGGAGCCCTCCACAAACCTGCCACACAAACTCAGGAGAAAATGGCCACATGCCTGTGATGTCATGAAACAAACACGCCGACTGCGACACTGTGTTAAAAGGCCCGTCTATGACTTGGTTTGCAGAAATGTGGCACTTTCTCCATGTAGGACCATGCACACACAGCATCCCCACAACTGTACTAGGGTGACCAGGAGTCCCTGTGTAGGCTCAAGCACCATGGAACACACTCCATTGTCAGGAAATCTGGTCACCCTAAACTGTGGGCATGAACATGCGTTTTGATCTCATGATACGTTCATGAGAGAAGCATCAGTATTTCCCAACTAAAACAAAAGAGTATGGTGGCCCCTGTAGGCCAACAGTCTCGTCTAAGGTCTAACCAAACTGAGTTTGGCAGAAGACAATGATTTACATTTTGTACAACATAAAAATGATGAGCAGCACCACCATAGCCTCAGCAGAGATCTGTGGGAAATCCTGAGCATGCATACATAGGTGCAGGCTGACCTTGGCGTTGGGCCCCTCAGAGCCCAGGGCCCTTAGCTGAGCCAGTGTGTGTTCACGCAGGCTGCTGAGCTCTGCCTGCTGCCGCCGCAGTTTGATGAGCAGCAACGTCAGCTCCTCAGACTAGACACAGCATATGACAGCATCAGCTAACACTAGCTGACATCACATAGTATTGCTAAGACTAGTGGCACATCTCAATTCTCTTTCCTCCTCTTGTGTCCCTAATTTATTACCTAGGAAAGAAGAAGTATCAGCCACAGGCTGAGTCTCTCTCTCTCCTCTCCCCTATTCTTCTGTTGTCAATCCAATGAGCTGTAAGTGGTGTCCCAAAGATCAGGAGAAAAGGAAAGAAAATATGGAGGAATAACAGGAATGGTCTAGGAGGCAGATATAAGCTTATGCTAAAATTAAACTAAATAAGCCTTAGTCCTGACTACAAAGTCATTAAGGTCAGACCAGTGCCATAGAAATGAATATGGGGCCAATGTGATACAACAGAGTCAAAGCTGAGGAATCAAGGAGTGAGGAAATAGAAATGAGATGTACCCTAACTAACATCATGTAGTTAGTAGAAGTAGTATTAGTTGCAGCATCTCCTAACAACAGCTTACATCACTTTGCCTAAGCCATTTCTGACCCTCTTCACTTATAAATCATCTTATAACTAAATGACCAACCAGATCTCCCCACAGTGTGCTACTGAAACACTATCAATCCTTCAAGTAGCTTTTACATCTTTTGTTTTTTGCAGTCATTATTTTCTATGAAAACCAGTGCATCCACAGGCCCAACTGTGACCAGGAGACCTCAGCTTCCTCTGATGGAAGGCTCTTTGACCCATCATGAGTCAGGCTTGCTCCTGCTCCTCACACTGGGCCATATTGAGCTAGAGGAGCCGCTCGAGAGCCACATGTAACAGTTCTTACCGTTTTACCCTGCAGGGACTGAGGGGTGATGTTGTGAGGAGAAACACCAGCCGTTGCAAAACGCTCAGGATACCCCAGCTACAACAGAAAGATTATGGTCCAACATTATGCACACATTTCAAGCAACTTTTCACATCGAATTATCTGTTCTGTGTGTGCAGACTGCCTGCCTCATTTTTTTTTTACCATGATACATTATAATGTGATTTAACAATGTGTCAGAAAAAAAACAAAAGAAAAAGCAAAAGTCACTTTATAAAAGGTACCCCACTATATACCTCACTATATATTTCGTGTTGATAGGACCACACAGGCAGAGTCCTCATCAGCACCATGTGCTCTTACTGCCACATGAGCTTTCCATTAAACTACACTTGTCTCATCGAGCTCAGCCAAAGTAGAGACTGTGCTCTATCAATCTTTAGATTTTTGGATGTGTTGTGTATACAGTGATGGTACCTTGAGAGGGAGTGTCTTCTGGCGCCCGAGCGTCGCAGTACCGTCTCTGAGCACTGGAGAGGACAGCTCAGAGTGTGGGCTGCTAGGGTTGGGCGCCCCCTTGAGCCTTGGAGGAGGGAGGGTGCTGTAGAGAGAGCCATGGGACGGGGAGGTGGGGAGGGGCGTGGCTATGCTTTCACGGAGGTGGCTCATGGTCTTAGCGCTCGGCAGAGTGCCATAATGACCTGCACCTGAAGAACCAAATAGAAGAAACACTTCTTACCCACAAACTTCAACCACAGATCACTAATGCTCAGGTCAGTGCGTGTTGTTGTACTGTTCCCTCTGGCCCTCACCCCTCTGGCCCTCACCCCTCTGGCCCTCACCCCTCTGGCCCTCACCCCTCTGGCCCTCACCCCTCTGGCCTCACCCTCTGGCCCTCACCCCTCTGGCCCTCACCCCTCTGGCCCTCACCCCTCTGGCCCTCACCCCTCTGGCCCTCATCCCTCTGGCCCTCATCACTCAAACACAGTGCATGCAGTTTGGGACTTCCCGCGCAAGACTTAAAAAGTGATTAAAACCAATGCACCCTGCCACACTGACCTCTGAGGAGTGCGGGTGAGGCATAGGTCTGCGGAAAGAATCAGCAAGGTGTATATTCTGCAGGACATTGCAGCAGTCTGGAGCAGTTTTCAGGTTATTACATATGAATTATCACTGCAGTTGTCATGTAACAGACAATCTGTAAGTAACCTGCTGTTAGTACGCAGCACACTGCACTTCAGACTTAAGGCTTCACGCTGGATTTACTGTAACTATGGGCAGGTCAGAGCATACCTGTGGTGCAGTTAGAGGATACCTCTAGACAGGGTCAGAGAGTATCATGGGTGGGATCAGAACACCTGTGGGCGGGGTCAGAGCATACCTGTAGGCGGAGCCATGCTGAGCCTGGAGTAGGCTTGCCGCTGCTGCCATTCGTAGAGCTGCCACATGGTGTCGTCCTTCATAGACCTTCTCTTGTCAGCTGAGCTGGCAGCACAGACACTGTCAGGACGGCACAGGCTGTTGCGAGGCAGAGTGCGGTAGCCCTCAGGAAACTGGGGTCCCATCTGGCTCCGGTGACTGGGCATGTTTCTGGGTAATGTCTGGTATGAAGAAATGCTGTGGAGATAAAAAGTAACTCCCCAAGATATATTTATGCCGTTAGCAGCTGAATCACCACACTACGCATCAGAGGCTCACCTTGTTGTTTCCGGGTCTGCTTTGGCCCTGTAGGGCCGTGCCCAGGGCTCCATGGGGGGCATGGAGTGAGTCCTGGACAAACTGGTCTTAGGGGCAGTGTCAGTGGGCAGTGTTGAAGTGTGGAGGAGCCTAGAGCTGCCGTCTGGTTGGTCCACAGCGGCGCTCACGGACCCGTTGACCTTCTGGTTTTGCCGTGAGGCCGAGACGGCGGCTGCGATGGCAGCTGCCTGGGCTGGTTGTAGCTGGATGCTAAGCTTGGTCCTCTCAGCGCTGGTGTCTCTGTGCAGACCATACTGCAAGTCTGTGTCCTTCAAGGTGGCATAGCGATCTCCCTCTCGCAGAGTGCTGTACTTCTTCACCTCCTTCAGCGTGCCATATCGATCCATCAAATGTACGGTTCCATATTTGTTATTAGCAAACATGCTTCTGTCGGTCTCCCTGAGAGACAGCTGTCTCCTTACCTCCTTTACTGGGGCATACCTGTGCCCTTCTGTGTGCTGTGCTGGAAGAGTGTGCGTCTCATTCACATGTAAGAGTTTGGGTCCTTCTTTGACCTGGTTGTACGTGTCCTCTGAGGAGGATGTGCGCAGGTGGTTCTTCATAGTGCTATTCCTCTGCAGGTCTGGGTGGAGCGCACAGGGCTCATCCCTTTGGAGACTGTATTTGTCTCCATTCTTCTTCAATAAGAACTGCTCTCCATCTTTGTGGAGGACATACCTGTCTCCATCCTTCTCCAGAGTGTAGTTCACTCCGTCCTTGCGTAGCAGGAGGCTGTCTCCGTCACGATGCAGAGTGTAGCATTCTGCTTTGTCACCATGTTTCTCCTCCTCTGGTACAGGAGGCCTGCCGCGTGGGTTCGCGGTTGCGTTGGTTGTTCTGGATCTCTGGGCAGGTTAAGGCTCGCTGGTTGTGCTGATTGTTCAGTTCCTCAGACTTCTTCAGATCTGCATTCACTTTGTCAATTCTGAAAACAACATCAGAGTAGGTGGTACTGATCCAACAGGTGATTGCTTTTAAACATGGTTAAATGGATCCCTTATGAAAACATACAACTAACAGCATTGCTGTAACATGCTTATTTGCTATTCCAAGAAGCTACTTGTTTTCCAACTACTTTTGAGTAGACTGCTCACCAGCCATCATTCATCCATCCACTACAAACCACACTCATCCATAAGCACAGTGGCACTGGTCTGGTTAGAGCTGGACTGGTTAGTTTGGGTTGGTGGTAGCTATAAGGCCGCCCCACTTTAGTCCATCCCCCAGAATGTAGGACATTAAATCTAAATGTGTGTGTGCTCACAGGTGCTCTGCAGAGCGCCGGAGAGGCTCTGTGTGCACCAGAGCAGCGTCCGTCATGACCTTCATCCAGGACTCTGAGTCTTTGGCCGAGTCGCTGCAGAAGTAGTATGTGCGCATGTTGGGATGGGTGGCCTGGGAGCACAGGAAGCACACGCTTGTTTAAGGAATCAACAATATCACATTTTAGTCTTACTATTATTGTAAGAAAAGAAGAAAACATGATTATTCACAACTACTGAAATCACCTAACAGTAACAATAAAATCATTCATTTTCTTTCATTTCCAGTATTTAACATGTGACAGTCTGACTTGGTTAATGAAATCAAACTTTCAAAATGATAAGGTAAAGCTGAGGTGACATAAATAGCCAGATAAACACTTTACAAAAATTATTTCATTTTGCTTCTAAAATGGTTACAATTATTATTTGTAGTTATTACTCTTATATGTGACCTGAATAATTATGATTATCGATAAACCTAATAATCAACATCCCTGCTCTTGTTTAAATACTAACAGTGTTTACATTCAGAGCAAAGACACAGTACACAGAGTAGGATTACCTTGAAAGCATATTTTCTGTTGATGTGGTCATCCACTGACAGCATAGAGATGTGGAAGCTGGGCAGCAGGATGCTCCCCAGAACATTGTCTTCTTTGTCATCTGAACCACAAACACACAAACACAGCTCTAACTCCAACTCCAAATCCCATAAAGTCAGCAAATCCAACAGGGTCATATCAACTCGTGTATAATTTAAAACTAAGGATGTAATAGAAATAAAAAAGAAAAAAAATCTACAAGTAATAAAACAACAATTTTATTCTCTCATTCTCAATTTCCTAAAAAAGTTCACAAAATATTCTTTGTCCATCTTAAGGTCGCCACAAACTACAGGTCAGGAAAAAGCCCACATCAGACACGAGGAGAATCTGATGAGATTTAAAATCTCTGATCGCAAAGACTGCAGCAGGATGTGTCTGCGTAAAACAGTTTAAAGTTGTGAGCCAACAATGGTGAGTCTACCATTTCCTGTCTACAGTAAAACCACTCGCTTTGAGACTTTTAAGTGTTCAAAAGATCAGAGCACTGCACTGAACTAATAACAATGTTAGTACTTGTCAGATGTGGTGCAATACTTCAGACACACGATTTTTAAAGCATAGAAAGTTGGAGACGCAGTACAAAGGATGCAGAATCTTGCTACTGTGCAGCTTCACACCCAATCCGCACGCTGTGTGGATGTAAACAGAGACATGTGAGGAACTACTTTCACCTTTTTACTGTAAAAGAATGTGTCAAACTAGATCAACAGCGCTGTTTTGTGGATGGGGTGTCATTATTTACAGAAGACAAATTCTACAGATAATGTGCATGAGATGCTGCAGTTTAAATTTACCACTTTTTGAGAGGTGAGTAATAATTATTTTCAATATTTAGTGAGTTTGTTCTTGTGCCTCTGTATCCTGCCTCCCTCTGCCCTGATGCTCTGTTTTATTGGCTGATGTTTGGTGGTTATGACAGAGCAGAGCAGCTCACAGTCACACAGACATCACACATATGAGGAGCACAGCGGCTTCAAAATTGCACACAAAGACACAAAGTCGGGTCCCGCCTCGCCGAACTCGGGGAGAAACAAATCGCAACCTAAACCGGGGAAATTCTCTTGTAAGGTGTGGCGGCCTTAAAGCAGGGATGTCCTAATGTTTTTTCACATGCTTGTTCTTGCACATGACCAGGGTATAGTGCAGGGTAGGTAGGGTCGGCGCGGCTGTGGGTAGGGTCCCTGAAAACTCCCTGAAAAATAAATAAGGGACACCTCATTGGCAGGGCCGGTGTACTGTCGATTTGAGCTACCCGTCATTTTGCGCTACATAGCACTACTGCGCATGCGCACACCCCCCAAGTGCTATTCCAGTGTAAATGCCGTCGATTTGAACTTCATAGGCAGAAGTGGAGTAACAAGTCACATTTTAAAAGTGGATTGGTTTTATTGTATGTTTTGACCAGTTAAGCGTGTAAGCATGGACATGTGTGTGTTAGATTTGTGGCAGAATACCTATGTTAGGCTGCAGGTAGCTCATTTCGACGGGACAGCCCATTTCAAAAGAACACTGTAAAGCCCTGTTGGCGCCACTGTCGTCCATGCTGCTTTGTGACAGAGTTGAACCCTCAGGGCCTTCAAGGTATTCAGTGAAGGCCCAAGAAAAAATACTGACTTAATTTTTGTACTACTAATAGAATTTTTCAATTTTTCTATTCAGTGAGTAATAAACACTACACTAGTAATCATTTCTAGATCATTGTTGTAAACTTGGACTGATAATTTTTGGGAAACAAAGGGTTAATAAAATGGAATGGAAATGGACCAATCACAATTTTTTTTCCCCAATGGCATCTGGGTAAATCAGTGACCCCCCGCCAAAAAAATGCGCTGGATGCCTCTATTTAGACGCCTTGGAGACATCTGAAACAGAGGGAGGAAAAGACCTGAGAACTGGAGCTCGTAGCCCACGACCAGGGCAGAGCACGGAGCTTGCGGAGACTCGGAGCACGCGGTCAGGCCGGAGCTCAGAGCCCGCAGGCAAGGCGGAGCTCGGAGTCAAGCATCCTCGACCAATGAGATGATGAGCGGGGTGTGTGTGCTGTCAGCTCATATGTCACAGAGCAGGAGAGGCTGAGAATAACTTTACTGTAAATTTTCTTATAAAGTGCATTCCACTGATTACACACTATTTCTGGTTCTCGTGGTAAAAGTGCGTCCCTTTTCAGTTCAATACGGGAGGCGTACTTTTGTTTCCGAATACGGGACGATTCCGTTTTTCAAGGGACGGTTGGCGACCCTAGTAGGGTGTCTGTGGGTGGGTACAGCGCAGGCTTAGGGTAGGGTGAAAAGCAGCACAGTATGTCCTTGCACATGACCCAGGTACAATGCAGGGTTGGTGTAGGGGCGTCTGTGTCTGTGAGTCAGTACCTCGGTAGTAGAAGAGGCACATGTCACACAGGACGAACCAGCGCTTCTTCCACAGCTTCATGCCTGTGCTGTCCTGAAGGTCAAAGGTCAGAGGTAAGTGCTCTGTGAACACTTATCAGTAGAGCGCACATAAAACACTAGTATAATATAATATCAAATGTTAATGTTACAATTTTGACACTTTTGTTAAGTCATTAAAAGGTTCTATATGATGCAAAATTGACTCTTGTGAGCTTTAAGACATGTTAGAATGTTGTTACCTTCTCACAAACAACCTGGCAACCAACTTGTGCTTTGTTTCATTCACACATGTTTGAGTAATTCTTTATTACTACTAATAGAGATGTAGTCCGTCTACATCTCTAAAGATCAAAATGGTCTGTTCCACCTTGTGATGTCAAGAAACAGTAGTTTAAGTAAAACGTAAAGAGCAGAATTGGTTGGTAAATCCAGAGCTGAGATTGTCAAAATGCTTCTGGTGATATATTGTATGAAGTTTATAAACACAGAAGAGAAGAACTTAGCCTAAATAGGCAGGATTTGTGTGTTAAACATGTGTGAATGAAACAAAACTATTCTGTGTACGTATGTTTTTTGATGAGAAAGCAACACTGTAGGAGCCAGAAAAAGGCAGTGTTGGGACCATATTATGCTAAAACATAATTAGGACCATTTCATTTAAAAGTTCGTATTGTAACTACTCTGATCGTTACGTTATTACTTTGCCTGGAATGTTCCACAGTAAACGTTAAACATGTCCATCTCAGGTCAAGTTTCAGGTCAGGCAAAAAAAGAGTCTGTTCCCTGTAAGAATGTTTTTCAAGGGTTTTGTTCTGCGTTTTAGAAGCATTTTTGTTGTTTTGTTTCCCAATAAGTATACAAGTAACTAAAGAAATTATAGGGAAAGCAATACGTCTAAAATCTTGTATTCTAAAATTGAGTACATCAGTGACATAACCGTCCACTAGAATGCAAACAAAGAATCACATGAGTGTTCCTGGGCCTTGAACTTGTGCAAATGCACAGAACAGTGTTGTACAGGGTTCTTCACTGTAACACGTTAGTCTCTGCTATTAACGCTAACTATATCAGAAGTCTGAAAACTTGTCTTAAAAGAGCTAAGCAAGACTTGGCAGGGGATATTTCATCTTTTAAAGTTTTCATATAGCACTTTAAAACCACTTTAAAAGAGATTTCATCTTTAAAGTGCTCCTTTGCCATTTAAATTGTATCTACTGGTTAGAATGTATTTTGGGGTTTTTATAATTTCCTTTAGGATAAGAAAGTATTTCTAATTGTATGTATATTTTATTGTACTTTTAAGTAATGGACCCCAGGAAAACTAATGGGGATACATATGATACAAATACATTTGCACGGAGACAAGTAGGTGGTGAAGTATTCTCAAAAAAACTATTGATATTTGACAATATAATACACATTTTGACAATGAATTTATGAAGATTATAGGACAGACCTGTTTGTAGAGCCAGCCCCTCTTCACCACAGGCGCATTCACGTTCCTCTTAATTGAGTTGGACCTTTTACCAAAGTTATGAACTTTTTTGGAAGACCTTGAAGGCTGTGGAAAACAAAGTCAAGATAAGTCCTCCTGTCCAATCTCCTACTTTTGTGGGGGCAGAATTTGGAGAGACAGACCCGTGCTACAGCAGAGGGGGCGCTGCTGAGCCGTGGGGGGGCATTGTTGAGGCCTGTCCCGGGGCAGGGAGAGGTGGCCGTGCTAACGCTGGTGGCTGGACTGAGGTCAGAGCCCCCATTGTCGCTCAGGATACTGGTGGGACGCTCCCTTTGCTCTGCACTCTGCTCCAGCGGGACAGGAGGGGCGGGCCTAAGAGAGACAGGACACTTTGCTCACAAAACAGTAGGTTCATAACATGTCCTCTGGGTTCTACACTGATTTCTGATCTGAATTCTTCTCTAAACTTCTTCATATAAAGTGCTGAACATGGTGAGGAAGCAGACTCCTGACAGAACAAACCTTACACAGCATTGCCACACTGAGGAGATGCAGAGGGACACTTTTTGCTGTGATTCTCTTGACAATAGTAGGTGTGCGCATTCGTGATGCACTACTGTTGGTTTGAGCATCCATCCATCCATCCATTTTCTTCCAATTATCTGGGGCCGGATCACAGGGGCAGCAGTCTAAGCAGGGACTCCCAGACTTCCCTCACCCCAGACATGTCCTCCAGGTGTTCCCAGGCCAGCCCAGAGACATAGTCCCTCCAGCGTGTCCTGGGTCTTCCCTGGGGCCTCCTCCCGGTGGGACATGCCTGGACATGCACCTCCAGAGGGAGGCGCCCAGGAGGCATCCGGAACAGATGCTCGAGCCACCTCAACTGGCTCCTCTCAATATGGAGGAGCAGCGGCTCTACTCCGAGCTCCTCACATGTGACTGAGCTCCTCACCCTATCTCTAAGGGAGCACCCAGCCACCCTGTGGAGGAAACTCATTTCGAGAACTTGTATCCGCGATCTCGTCCTTTCGGTCATTTCCCAGAGCTCATGACCATAGGTGAGAGTAGGAACAAAGACTGACCGGTAAATTGAGAGCTTTGCCTTTCTGTTCAGCTCCCTCTTCACCACAACGGTCCGATACAGCAGCAGCATCACTGCCGAAGCTGCACCGATCCACCTGTCAATCTCACGCTCCATCCTCCCCTCACTTGAGAACAAGACCTCGAGATACTTGAACTCCTCCACTTGAGGCAAGGACTCTCCATCCACTTGAACATATGTAGTAGATTTATGTAGTTTGAAGAGTCAGGGCTGTGGCACTGAAACATGTGCATAGGTTTAGGACATTGGTCTCTCAACCTGTGGGTTAGGACCCAGAATGGAGTCACCCTACATCAATATATGTAGATGTTTATTATTATTATATATTTTTTTTTTTACTTTTTTTTTTTTTATCACAGCCAACAAAGTGAGAGATGGGTTATTCCTGTGACATGTATAGACAGACATTACATTTTCATTCTCTGAATTAATGTAAATCCATATCTTACTATTTATCGGCCCTTCGATATGCAAGTTCTCCACTTTTTTCACTGACAACATTTCAGAACTTTTCCATGACTTTTTCATGACCTAAAGTGAATTTTCCATGGCTTTACTGCACCTACATGTGTAGAACTGATCAGGCTTTTAGAGCTAAATAAAATGAAAGGCAAACTCTTTCCTTGTTAACCTTATGGTTTGAGATTATAGTTTTTAACTTTCAAAATCCTGTCAGTGCTTTTATTGTCGTCTCTTTTAAACACAAGGTGCAGATGTTCAGAAATAATCAGAACAGCCTCATAGAACTTAAAAGAATGCTCTAGCTGCCTGAAAGAGATACTACATTTCCATTACTTTTCCAAACCTTTCATTGAATTTACAAAATTACATGACTTTTCCAGGCCTGGAAAATAATAATAATAATTTTCAATTTCCATGACCATGGGAATCCTGAATATGAAAATTCTTCATCACAAATAATGGCAAATATAGAGTGTGTCATATGTGCTTGTTACAAAAATGCCAGCAGGGGGCACACATGCCAGTAGAGGACTTGTGCAGCTCCTGGAGAGTGTGTGTGTGTGCGCGAGTGTGTGTGTAGTGGGGACGTACTGTTCATTGACCACAAAGATGCAGTTGTCCTGGGAGGGTGCTCCAGACAGAGGGTGCTTACACGTCACCTTCCGCTCGTTATGACTGCAGCAGAACGACAGGGGTGGGGGGAGAGACGGGGAGACAGGGGGGAGAAGTTAGATCATAATAAACAAAAAGCCATTACGATTTATTTTTTTTCCAGAGAATAACAAACATAATGTAAACAAGTGCCAGAACTTGTTTAAATTGCACAATAGTTATGATTAGACTAATACTATTAAATGACAAGAGCTCAATGTTCAAACATCAGGGTTTAAACTGTCAGAATGCCTTCTTTGAGCTTAAAGTATCCCTGGATTCAAACTGCCACTTAACTGTTGTAAAACTATGATAAATATTTACTATTCCTATTTCACCAAACCAAGTTAAGACAAGAAAACAATATGAATCTGTCAAATGCACCTGAAGTTCTTCTCCACTGCACAGAGCCTCCAACAGGCCCTCAGTCTGAGAACATCTCCACTGCACAGAGCCTCCAACAGGCCCTCAGTCTGAGAACAATGTGCGCAACTATTTGGTTTTGTTTATTTGAGCAAAGCACCATGACACATTTTCACATGTCTTCTTTTCAGTCACGAGACAGGACTGACATTGCACTGGAGCATCTTAAACGGTCTTAAACATTCAGCACAACTTGGGCAGTGATGTTTTATGTGTGGCTCATTCCAAGTCAGTGCCCTAGAAAGTTAGGCAATCCCAGCACAAGTACATGATCATATTTTTAACGGTAGTAATTAATACTACTAATTAATACTAATTAGAAAAGGAATCATGTTTTACTTGTGCTATAATGAAATGAACTGTACCCAATTGGCGACTATTAGAGGTTAGCACAAGAGTTCACTCCAAATAGATTCTGATGAATGCAAAGGAAAGCAAAGCAATATTATCAATGACAATATTATTATTATAAATATCATAATTATTATTAATATTATTATAATTTGTTTCATTGTTGCTGCTGCCAACAATGAACTGCTAACAGTTTCGTTTGGGATTAATAAAGTATTCATCTATCCATCTATTTTAGTGTTGTCACGATCCAAAAATTTCAATACAAAAACTCAATTTTGATAGAGTCGATACTCAGTACAATTCTGATACCACGATAATAAAAAGCACTTTATTTAAACAGTATGTAATTTAACATTACATGGTAGCACTTTCTGCTGTCTTCTCATGTGTCTTATGTGTGTGTAATGGTCAGTGGTGCAGTAGGTTCATGTTGGTCCACGTGTGTGTATTTGTCTATGTGCTCTGACACTTGTTCAACTCAGATGAGTATCTAAGTTCAATACTAGTTTTACTACCAATTAGGATCAGATGTTCAATGCTTTACACTATCGGGAAAGAGAGAGAAAAAAAAAAGAAAAGCACAAAAGCCAGTATTTTCAAAGGACAGAGACAAAAATGAGACAAACTAAATCATATTTGAAGGACCCCTCCAAGAAACACATATTTTTCATATTGTCCACATGAAGCTTCTGTCACAGGTTGAGAAGTTAGAAAAGCTGCAGTCAGACTGGAAGCACATGACCAAACTCAGAACCTTAACATTCACATTTTGCACTCGCAGCAGAATGGAATCTTTCACTTCCTCTCAGACACCACAGGATTTTGAAAGAAGAACTATTGTGTTTGCGTCTGCTATATAAATATGTAAAAAAAAAAAATCCCATTTTCCATCGCAATATTCATTTAAAACAACTTAAAAAAAAAACAGAAGTCTGCTAACTTCCACGTTAGAAAACTGTGTTGCCCAATGGGAGTTGATGTCGCTGCAAACGTCATGGCACACATGCTGTGTGCCCTTCCTATGGATAGTTGCACATCACAGCTGCGAGCAGCGGATTCACTTTCATTTAAGACACTGACGAATCCTACGTGTGTCACCAATCAGATTGGATTGGATTGAAACTGGCAATGAGAGGCTCCTGTGAGCTCATGGACCACATGGAACCTACCTGGAAAACTGAAGGATTACACAGATATAAGGCCACATGGGAATAGAAAAGAAAGAAATACCATTTCATGTTGTAAATCACATTATATTTTATTGTCAGTGGGGTACCGAAATGGGTATTTGTAACAAGTTTGAAATTTTAGCATCATGGCAACACAGTTTGCAGTGAGTGTGTTTATAAGCTCTTTTCACAACTGTCAGAGACCACAATAAAATTTTGCTAGCATGCCAACAGTGCACTTCTGGACAATCCCAATAGGCAAAACAACGCTGTGTAGTTAAATGCTGACAGGACACAGCAGACTTCTATTGTAGCTGCTCTTAAGGTACAAAATGTGTGTAGTGAGGCAAGACAGTTTGCTCACAAATATGGGGAAACAATCTAACACAGGCCCTTTACAGTGAGGATGATTCATTCACCTGCAGGAAATATAAAGAATATAATCTGTTCAAAATGACAGGAAATATAGAGGTATCTAAAGGTTATAGGCACAATTTACACACATGAGCATTGTTTTCATAACATAAAAGGTGTTTCCTTACATTTTTACATCTTACATAATTTGAGGAGTTTTGGCAGAGTGTCCTACATGGTTGCTAGGTAACAATAATGGATTTCCCTAGCGTGATGTCATGACTTCCAACCAGGAAGCACAATTTGAAACCTAAATAATAACCAAATTGGGTTTTCAGACTCAGACCAGGTCAGATATTGGCTCGATCACAGTGGGAGAACTTGGGAATTGTCTTCTGGCTCCTCACTGGACAGAGGAGGCCCGCCCATATCTGAGGTTGCCATCAGACCAGAGCAAAGTGAGGACAAACAGGAAGGCACCTCCCTGCTGGAGAGGTCACGCCCTGCACGACACCCACGGGCTCATTAGGAATCCAAATGAGTCAAATGGCTGGGAAAGATCCTGCTACTCACTGTGTTTGTCTGAAGGAAATATGTGGGCAGGATAATACTGGAATTAGCAGTCAGATTTGACTTGAGTATATTGTCCATTTAAAAATAGATATTTTTGGCTTTTTTTTAAGTTCTCACTTTGTACTCAGTTACATTTACTCGTGTGACTTTTTAAAGAAATTGTACTTTTCAAATAATTTTAAGAGTGGCATTATTTTATTCCTACTACAGTCATTTTTATTAAAATAACAGTACTCTTTTCAAGTAAAAGTTGTGCTTCCTCTTCCTCACTGTGAGGAAGTCTAAAGTGACAAAGCTTTATGTGACAATATGACATGGTTTGAACAATTGTGTTTCTTGCAGCTCCTTCATATATGATTTAGTTTGTCTCATTTTTGTGTTTGTCCTTTGAAATGATCAGATTTTGTATATGATTTCATGTTTTGTCCTTTAAATTACATTCACTTCAAATTATAAACCAGATGTCTGCCTCGTCAGTCTGTCCCAGGGCAGCTGTGGCTATAGTGGTATCTTCCATCCCTGAGTGTGGGTGAATGAAAAATGCTCTGTAAAGTGCTCCGGGTGTCTTAAGAGGCACTATACAATATATTCAATGTTATGTCTAGACAGTTATTTTTACTTGAGTCGTCTTTTCCCAAAATACTTTTTTACTTTTACTTGAGAAAATATTTGGACCAATACTTCATGCTTCTATTTGAGGATTATTATCTTTAAGTCACTGTACTCTAACTTGTGTACAATTTTTGGCTACTCTACCCCTTCTGATAAAACTGTTATTGTAAAACTGTTTGATAAAAATAAATGAAGTTGATCATTTGCCATTATGAATGTAGGACTGGGGAGGTGGGTACTTCAAAATAATATTACTTAAGCATAATTTGGAAAACTACTCAAGTAAGAGTAAGTTAAATAGTAACTGTCATGACGTAACATCTGATTTATAATTTGAAGTAAATGTAAAGTGAAGGACAAAACATTAAATGAACAAAATCTGGTCTTTTCAAAAGGTCAGAGACAAAATAAGACAAACTAAATCATATGTGAAGGAGCTGCAAGAAACACAATTGTTCAAACCATGTCAGATTGTCACAGATAGATTTTGTCACTTATATGCTGCTAAGGAAATGTTCAGGGTTAAGCACATAAATGTAAGTGAGTACCACAGTTAGAGGATGTGTGTGTTCTGCACTAATGTGGCTCATTTCACACTCCAATCACACTTGTGTAACACTTGGGCCTTCACCAACACATTTAGAGGCATGTTTGGAAGCAATCATAAAGGATTACAAAAATACCATCTGATTACAGTTACTGGGATCATAAACTTCTTTATGTAAATCCCTCCTGTAATGTCGGGATGAATCATTAAAGGCGCTGTACCTGACTTTGTCTCAAAAATGTGAGAAATAGTTTGCAGTGGTCCAAAGTTAATCCTCACTTACCTTCTGCATTCTGAGCAACCTACAGTCATTATTCACGGCGATGAGTTTACAAGCACTTTTCACAGGTTCCAAAGCTGAGTACTATGACGGTAAAACAACAACATGTACTTCCTAATTATCAATAAAGCATTCAAATGCTCTAGAAGTAGATGCAGACTGCACACAGTGGACTTATTTTGACTTCAGGAGCTGCTTATAAACAGAATAGCACTGGGACATTTAGCTCAAATATATGAGAGCAAAAAATCCAGCACAGGAACTTAAAGCACAGGAAAAAGTAAGCTGTAGCCACAGCTGTCCTGGGGCAGACCGAGGGAAACATGGAAGCTAATGAGGACAGGTGATTCTAACCCAACAAATCCTTCAAACATATGACAGCCAAAGTCATTCTGGGTGAGGTGTCTTGCCCAAGGAGACAAACGCTGGGAGAAGAGGACAGAGACACTATGTCGTCACCATACAAACATTTCCAACATGATTTTGATGTTAAGGAATAAACTCAATACTCAATACCAATTCTGATACCACAATGATTAGAAAAAAGCACTTCCTACAACAGAATTAGATTTTCAACATGAAATGGTAGAACTACTCCAGCTCATTATCATTCTAAAACATTCAGGAAAGGTTCATCTCAGTCCTGTGGATGTACACTTTTAGTTTCTATACAAGTTTAGGGTTGGGGACAACTCTAACAGAGAGGAAAGGACAGGCTGTGGAGAGGACAGTGTAAGGTCAGAGGCTGTGGACAGTTTAGCCGATGGTGTCAAAGAGAGCAGAACTGGAGCACCTGCTGACCCCTGACCCCTGAGCCTGTGGGAGGGGCCACAGAGCTGCAGGTGTAGGGACATGTCTCTGACAGTCCCTGTCCCTGCTCACACATACCAGTGTACAGCGGTGGGGCTATTTATAGAGGTGCTATATTAGCTCATACATGTGTCAGCTGCTGCTCTCAAAATGGCCCCACACAGAGGGGCCTCCTCCCACAGCCTGAACCCTCCACACCAGCGCGGCGTGCACTGCGTGTGCACGTACAGGGCGCACTCAGGGCATGGTGCTGTGGGTGTGTGCTCACAGTGTCTCAGACTCTTGTCAGACACTGTTGTCAAACAGGTCTGTGGAAGAAGCCCGGGGAGGTCCAGGCGACATGTGCGCACAGGCAGCGCACAAACAGCGCACAAACACAGCCCAAACAGCGCACAGGCAGCGCACACAGCGCACGCGGATGGCATATCAACAAGTCGAGCCTGTTCTGACTAACGCCCCAGTGTCCTCCCTCTGCTGTGTGCGCATGCACGTGCAGTCTACCGCTTATGGGTCACCACTATGGACAGTGGACAGTACAGACAGAGATGGGCACGCGTGTGTGAGTGCGTGCGTGTATGTGTGAGTGCGTGCGTGCGTAGTATGATCACTCACTTGATGAAGCAGCGCGCGCCCTCAAACGTGTATCCCTCCTCCCATCCTGTGGGCAGATCTGTGGAGACAAGAGGCACACGGTCAGCGCGAGACACACACTGCTACAGCCCCGCACCGAGTATGAACGCGACCGCGGCTCTATGGCCTCCCGCACACAATCCCGCACACACTGCGGTGCTCGGCCCAGCTGTGCGCCGCTGGTCCGCCCTCCTCTGCTCAGGGCTAGGCTGCTCTGGCTGAGCCTTGACACACAGAGCCACGGCCTTTGGGTAGAACCGTGTCGAACGTGAGTGAGGAATGGCCTCGCACGGCGCGTACGTGACAGAACTTCCAAAAAGTGTGGAGATTGGTCCAGGTGAAGGCGGGAGGACGGAGCTGGCTCTGCTGCAGAGCCCCAGTCCCCCTCTGCTCCAAGCTCCAGCCCGCACTTTGTCAGCTCCTTCCCCATGACGCGCATGGAGCCTCGGTGTGAGCGAGAGCGGTGGGCTTGAGGGCCGTACGGACGTGGTTACCTGATGTTTTTCGGTGCCCGGTGACCACTGCCTCTCCGCTAACAGGATGCAGCCAGGTTGTGCTCTGGGCTTGCTCACTGTGGAGAAGAAAACCACAAACACAAGTCAGTGACGGTGCTCTGTCCGGGCCGTAAAGGACAAAGCGCTCCGTGCCGCGCCGATCCGACCCATATTTACTTGATAAAGAAGATGCGTCCGTCTCGAAGCACTCCGTAACTCCACGCAGAGGGCAGACGGGAGAGCCAGTCCGGCCGAGGCTCCGCCGCCATGTCTACACTGGACCGAGCACTGCGCTCATGTCTGTGCGCGCTGCCGACAACTGCGCGCTCGCACGCAACGAGACCGCGCTTTCTTCACACGAGGGCGCGCCTAAGAAAAGGATAGAGGCAACATTTCTGAGGAGTAGGACTAACACATGACGAAATGTGGTCACGTGATCTGGTTTTAAAATTCATAACAGTCTCCAGACGAAACGCACGAAGAACAGACTCCCAAGAGTCCCACGCATTATAGAAGAGTCCTCTTGTTGGCTGGGGCCAGGAGATCCTCTGCTGGACACTGATCACAAAGTTCAAAAAAAAAAAAAGTCAACTAAATGAAAAGACCCTTGCGAAACAGTCTGCTCCTGTGCTCACGTAAGAGATGGTTAAAGCAGCTTCTGGCGCCTCATGGTTAAACCATCAACTAGAACTTCAGGAAAGTGTTCTGAAGCACAGTTTTCCCATAACAAACAGCCCAGGCGCGTCCCCGTGTGCGTCAGGCTGCGTGACCGCGCTCGCTGCCTTCACGTGCCATATGATACGTCATTCACCCAAAGGCTCTCACGCTTAAGACAAACCCGAGGAACGTAACGCACGGGGAGCACCTGTCCCCCTCTGGGCGTTTGTCCAAACTGTTCCAAACGCACCTGTCACGCGTTTCCATGGTGACGTTTAGTCCGTACGCGGCTGACGTGAGAGGGGCTGCTTATCTGTGCATGTTCAGGAATGATCCTAATACTGGAGGAGCCAAGAGCCCATTACCCGCGCCCCAAGCGCATCTTGTGACTACGACCCGGAGAGAGTTGGGACAGACGGACCCGGAGCACGGGACCCAATTAAGATTCTCATTTGGGATTGTTTATTTGACCTTAAAATGATTGAAGGAGCACTGAAGTTAGTATTTCAAATAATCCCAGTTAAACAGGAGGCTCCTGTCTGCTTCGAATGTTCCACAATATGGCATTAAAGAGATCAACCTTATACATGTATTAAATTACAGGTGATTTTACAGCCCAAAAATACCTAGAAAAACAGACATTTTATGTCATTACTTATTTTCTATTTTATTTTGACTTGTACATATACATTGATATAATTATGTCTTCTTTGACACTCGTTTGTTGCTCTATTCTGCCACTTATTTCGAATTTATTATTACCATTTATATTGTTTATTATTTGTTATTATATTATTATATTGTTTGAGCTACTGTCCATCCATCCATTTTCGTCCGCTTATCCGGGGCCGGGTCGCGGGGGCAGCAGCCTAAGCAGGGACTCCCAGACTTCCCTCACCCCAAACACGTCCTCCAGCTCCTCCGGGGGGACCCCAAGATGTTCCCAGGCCAGCGTGTCCTGGGTCTTCCCCGAGGCCTCCTCCCGGTGGGACATGCCCGGAACACCTCCCGAGGGAGGCGCCCAGGAGGCATCTGGAACAGATGCCCGAGCCACCTCAACCGGCTCCTCTCGACGTGGAGGAGCAGCGGCTCTACTCCGAGCTCCTCACATGTGACTGAGCTCCTCACCCTACCTCTAAGGGAGCGCCCAGCCACCCTATGGAGGAAACTCATTTCGAGCGCTTGTACCCGCGATCTCGTCCTTTCGGTCATTACCCAGAGCTCATGACCATAGGTGAGAGTAGGAACGAAGACTGACCGGTAAATCGAGAGTTTCGCCTTTCGGCTCAGCTCCCGCTTCACCACAACGGTCCGATACAGCGACCGCATCACTGACAAAGCTGCACCAATCCGCCTGTCAATGTCACGTTCCATCCTTTCCTCACTCGTGAACAAGACCCCGAGATACTTGAACTCCTCCACTTGAGGCAGGGACTCTCCACCCACCCGGAGAGGGCAAGACACCTTTTTCTGGTGGAGAACCATAGCCTTGGACTTGTGGATCAAGTTTGTCTAAGTCTAAGTTTAAGTCATTCTGGCTGTGAGCGGGGCTGCCTTTGCACAGATCTGTCCAGTAACTTGGCCTGGTTCCATGGCTCCATGATAATAGAAAGGTTTAATGTTATAACTGTGACAATTAGACAAAGCAAAAACATCTCCATGGAGAAAAGCGTGTGGCGGACCCTCCATCAGAAGATGCACCTTTAAAGGCCCAGGATGTTTCAGGATTGTGCAGTTTTGTTGAACACAGGAGCAGGAGGGTCAGGGAGTTTGTTTGGATGGATCAAAGACAGGCAGAACTGTGTCAAAAAAACAAACAAAAAAGTTCAGTTCACTTTCATTATTTAAGGCAACACAATAACATCGCCATGGAGACCAGCAGACGTTGACTCCTCCATCAGAAAAGTTCCACAGTGCACCTATAAGGCAAGTTACAAATGTTCCCATAAGTCGACACAAACCTTCTAGATACTGGAAAGTACTGACAAGTGCAGAGCCTTATCTCACATACACACAGAGCATGTGGCAGGTGCGCTCCTTCAGAGAGTTGACATCTCAGGTCTGTCCCAAGGCCACAGATAAACACAGAACACAGACTGCACTGTCTGCTGCTGTGGAGCTCATAAAAGACTGTCTGCACGACTGTCTCTTACACTGCGCTCACACAGAGGCACATCGAATAAGGCTAACAACACCAGTGAGACTTTGATGTACTTTGGATTAAAGAGGGGGGTTTCACTTTTATGGGGTATTAACTGCTAACACACAACATACTTTAATCACCATGTTACCTTTTATTGTTTTGAAAATGCTGTATTGGCCCAGAACAGTGTATTTACATGTTAGGCCTCTACATCAATGGCAAGTGTAAGTAAGTCTTTATTTATATAGTGCTTTCACCGACATTTCTGTCCCCAAAGACGCTTTACACTTTATTCAGCATTCATTCATACAGCATTATTCATTTACTCTATACCCTGGTGATGGTAAGCTACTATTGTAGCCACAGCTAGGACACAATGACTGAATTGATTGTATTTAACTGACCTTGACTATCAACTGTTTATGGAGACCTATGCAGCGTGTTTTGGGTTGATGGGAGAAACCGGAGCGCCCGGAGGAAACCCATCCAGACACAGGGAGAAACATGCAAACTCCACACAGAAAGGCCCGGGCGACCCGGGGATCAAACCCAGAACCTTCTTGCTGTGAGGCATAAGTGCTAGCCACTCAGCCACCATGCCGCCAAGTGTGTGGAGCAGGTCCACACCTTCGGGTTTCTTGATGTTCTCATCTCCGACAACATGGATTGAGAACATCACAGCAATCACCAAGAAGGCCCAGCAGCGACTACACTTCCTGAGAGTGCTCAAGAAGTATGACCTGGACCCCAGCCTGCTCCTGATCTTGTACCGCGCGTCCACTAAGAGCCTGCTGATGTACTGTATCACAGTATGGTATGCTAACTGCACTTTGGCAGAGAGAGGCTTCAGCAGGTAATCAAGACAGTGCAGATCATCTGCTGCCCTCTCCCCTCCCTGATGGACATCTACACCTCCAGCAAACTCAACAGGGCCAAAAACATTATTAAGGACAACTCCCACCCTGGCACTGAGGTGTTTTGTCCCGTGTCCTCAGGAAGGCGCTACAGGTGCATCAAAGCAACGACCACGACACTCAAAGGCACTTTTTTTCCAAGGGCCACACACATGCACTGACTGTCTCCACATTCCTACCACTCCATCCCCTGACCTCCTTCCATCCATCTGCTAATTTTTCTATACAATTTAATACAGTGTAATATTTTGTGTAAAATTTACTACAGTACAATCTCTCTCAGTGCAATATTTCATATTTAACACAGTGCAATATCTTGCTTGTTTGAATTTTGTAGTCGTAGATGTCCCAGTCTTTTTATGTTTTGCACGAGTACTACGTACTTATTTATTTTCATTATTCAATTTTTTCTTTTGTACTGCATTGTGTGTCCCATGAGCATGTCTGCACTGGAGAGTGAGTTACTTTTAATCCCGTTGTGCATGTGTATACTGTGGTTTGTACATATGTATAGTGACAATAAACAAGGTATTCTATTCATAAGTTTCACCTCTGTTTTTGCTCCAAGTTCCCTCTGCCTTTACTCTTTGCTTTAAGTCACTCCCCCTTCAGAGCTCTATCACAACACAATCATCTCACTAATGAAACCACTCCATATCACATCAGGTGTGTCAAGTTTGCTTTGTTTTGTGGTTGAGTTTATTTCACTTATTTAGTGCCAAGCATCATTTGGTAGGTGCCCACCTACCAGTTTATAAAACACATCAAACATAAAGCAAACAGATCACACATCAAACATGCATCGTGTTTTGGTATGTAGGCTTGTGGGCGGAGTCTTGCACAGAATCTTACAGCTAACCATAAGGAGAGTTTGAATAGGGCTCATGGGAGATCACTAAATTTGTCATACATGCATGGATGACATCTAATCTCTGGATTAAGGGGCACTATGGAATATTGAGGAAAATCTTAGATACAGAATTCCCTTCAACACATTCATGCATTTCAAGTGAATTCATTTTTAATTTATTCAGTCAGTGCAGATATCTTAGAATTACACTACTCATGGTTAAAGACATTCTTTTTGTTTTGTTTCGTTTTGGATCAGAACAGTATTTTTACCACTAGATGTGATACTAAATCCAGCTCATATAGAGTCTAATGGGATCAGGACGGGTGTGTTCAGGTCAATGGGCAGGTGATGAATATTTAAGGGCCCATATTACACAGATTTATTTATTTTTTTAATTTATGCCATAATGTTGTTTCTGCCTCAAAAACATACCTGGAGTTCTGTTTCAACTTGTGATGTCATGTGGTAATACATACAGGAAGTGTTCCAATGTGTTTTTAAACTCTGTACACCGTCACTAGAATCATTTGGATCATTTCAGACCTGGAATTACCAAACGGTAAAAGGCAGCTTTTAACATGAAAACTATCACTACCAACACAGAGCATGTTGAGCTTTGGAAATGTACAGATTAATAATGCAAAAACAACACCACAACTGTGTTGAGATGAAGAAGTAAACATTCCAACATGGCTTAACTCTCACAAGAGTCCATTTTGAATAATACATGACCTTTAAGAGATCTGTCAGGCTATTTGAATAATCCAAAGTTGTGGTCCACATCAAATACTGCAGTCAAATGAAGTCCAGGTAACAAAAGAATAGGCTACGATTCCACACACCTCACTCAATCTTTGGCACGCTCTGTGTAATGTGACCACTGGGTGGCGCACTAATCATTACAAAAGCATTCAGTGCAAAATGAGCATCAGAGCTCCCCTCCTCTCTTTAAACAAGATTACACCATTTCTTGTTTTGTTTTCAACAATTCATTATACCAACAGATTCTAAAACATGTGTGCATGAAACCTGCACAATATTGGACCCATTTTGCGATATATATATATATATATATATATATATATATATATATATATATATATATATATATATATATATATATATATATATATATATATATATATATGTGTGTGTGTGTGTGTGTGTGTGTGTGTGTGTGTGTGTGTATATATATATAGACAGATAGATAGATATAGATATAGAGATATAGATGTATAGTCTCTCTGGCAATGAAAAAATCGACAATCATAAAATAACTTGAAACTGATAAAAGCAATAATATTTAAAAATTTACAGAAAATTATCCAACAAAATCAAACAATGTTTTTCACCTGTGGTTCAGCATAATTATTAGAAAAAACAAAATAATGAAACTGACCTGGACAAAAATGATGGTACCTTAACTTAACATTTTGTTACACAACCTTTTGAGGCAAACTATGAAAACAAATGATTTCTATGACTGTCAGTGAGACTTTGGTCAAAAGGTATTTTGACCCACTTCTCGTGAGCAAACTGCTCTAGTTGTCTCACGTTTGAAGGGTTCCTTCTCCACACAGCATGTTTCAGCTCCTTTCACAAATGTTCAATAGAACAGATCTGGGCTCACAAAAGAAAACTCCAGAACAGTCCAATGTTTTGTTCTCAGCCTTTCATGTGTGTTTTTAGTTGTGTGTTTTGGGTCATGATCCTGTTGGGAGACCCATGACCTACAACCGAGACCAAGCTTTCTGACACTAGACAACACATTTCATTCCAAAATACCTTGATAGTTTTGAGATGTTGTTGTAACTTGCACAGATTCAAGACGCCCTGTGCCAGATGCAGCAAAACAGTCCCAGAACAAAACCAAGCCTCCTCCATGTTTCACAGTAGGGACAGTGTTCTTTTCTTGGTCAACTTCATTTTTGCATCTGTGAACATAAGAGCTGATGTGTCTTGCCAAGGAGCTTCAGTTTTGTCTCATCTGTCCAAAAGACATTCTCCCAGAGGCATTGTGGTTTGTCCCTCTGCATTGTGGTGAATTCCATCTTAGTGTTTTATGATTTGCTCTCAGCAGTGGTGTCCTCTCATGAAGTCCACTTTGGCTCAAACACTGATGGATGGTGTGATCTGACACTCATGTACTTTGCCCTTCAAGTTCACATTTAATTTGTTTGGAGGTTGTTCTGGGCTCTTTGGTTCCATTCATATGATCCATCTCTTCAATTTGTCATCAATTTTCCTCTTGCAGCTGCATCCAGGGAGGTTGGCTTCAGTCCTGTGGACCTTAAACTTGTGAAGAACATGTGTAACTGTAATCACAGGAACATCAAGCTGCTTGGAGATGGTCTTATTGTCTTTATCTTTATCCTGCTTGTCTGTCATTTTCTTTCTAGTCTCCTGACACAGTTCTCTTCTTCTCTTTCTCTGGTCCATGTTCAGTGTTGTGTCCATCATGTCTCCAAACAGCACAATGACACATGTCGCCCTTTAAACAGACACACTGACTGAGGACAAGTTTGAAGAACCTGTGATGCAGATTAGAGACACACTGAAGTTTAACATGTCCCTATTGTTCAGTTATTTACAATCTTTTCTAAGGGAACCAACCATTTTTGTCCAGGCCAGTTTCATTAGCTTGTTTTTTTTAAATAACTGTGTTGAACAACAATTCAAAAGCAGTGTCTGATTTTCATTGGCTATTTTTCAGGAAATTTTGATTTATTATTGCTTATAACTCTAATAACTTGAAACTGAGAAATATGAGATATATAAAGATATATAGATATATTAGAATACTGAAACTGTCAAAATGAAATATTATATATTAGACCCCATATTATGCAAAATATTTTAACTTAGCTGGAGTTGTGTTTTGCTTTAGTCATCTGTAATCCATTATTAGTATTTTTTTAATGTTTATATCTCCAAAGCTCAAAATGCTCTGATCCACCTGTGCCATGCAGTGGTAGTTTTCAAGTTACCTTTTACCTTTAGTTCTTGTGAAGGTGTAGACTTTAAAAACAGAAAAGAGGACTTCCTATATGACCTCACAAAGTGGAACAGTGTTTTTTGTTTGAGTTCGGCCTAAATCTGCAGGGTTTGTGTGTTAAACTTGTGTGAATGACACAAAACACAACTCAGGTCTGTTTTTAATGAGGAAACTACATTATAACAGAGGTCAGACAACAGTGTAATAAGAGCCCAAAAACAGAAAAAACACTCCCACTCTCCTGCTGCTTATGTTTTGGAGTGAATCATTTTACAGGAGAATTATGACACCCTAACTCACCATGTCCACAGAGACGCAGAGATGCAACCCAAAAGCAGACACGCAACTCAGACACAGAGACGCAGCCCAAAAGCAGACACGCAACCCAAAAGTAGACACGCAACCTATAAGAGACGCAACCCAAAAGAGACGCAACCCAAAAGTAGACACACGACCCAGACACAGAGACGCAGTCTAGAAGCAGAGACAGGTACACAGGTACATCAGGACACAAAAGTTAGCTGCACTGTGCACTGTCCACAGCTCTGTGCGCAGGCTCAGAAGGACCAATATCTCATCTCACTCATACCAAGAGAAAGACTCCATACTCCACATCCATTTCAATAACACTGTAATAACGTTTTTGTAAAAACAATATAACATTAACAATAATTACAGAAGTTCTGATAGAGAGACTACTCTAAAATCATGATACCAGGTTTAGAATAATCTTTTTTTACATTAACAGGAACAAAACAAAACAAATTAGATGCTGCTTTTAGATTATGTATATAAACAGGTTTTAGTGTTTAACTCATGAAACAGATTAACAATGAAATCTAAATATGGACATCATTGACATCTAAAATGTCTTATATTAAAGCAAAATTCTACAAAAACAATAGACAATCAAGAGGCTCAGAGGTTCTGGTCCCCATCGTGCCGCAGAGGTCGGGCTCCGTCGTGCAGCAGAGGTCGGGCTCCGTCGTGCAGCAGAGGTCGGGCTCCGTCGTGCAGCAGAGGTCGGGCTCCGTCGTGCAGCAGAGGTCGGGCCCTGTTGTGCAGCAGTCAGATGGTGTGCTTGGTTGGTTGCAGAGGCACAGTTGTGTCCTCAGAGGAGCTTTTTGCGGGTGCTGAGCCTGCTCCACAGGCTGTGGGCCGACTGATTGACAGTGCACGACAAAAAGAGGCTCCTCAGGGGGCCACTGAGACAGCTCAGGGCCCCGTGCTCAGGGTCAGGTCCCACATCCTCATGGGACATGTAGTGTATCCTCCTGAGCTGTCGGTGGTAGTAGTTCCGCAGGTGGCACAGCTCCTCAGTGGGGCTGTCTGAGATGATTGACAGCTGTGAGGAGAGATGGGCAGGGACAGAGTTGCGTATACTGGGCTGTGGACAAGGTCTTTTCCTGTCCTCTCCTCTGTCCTCCTCCACAGATCTCTGTGTCTCTGTGTGTTCCTTATATCTACCCAGGCGCCTCTGCACCTGCTCCTGCTTGTGCACCTGCCGCACCTGCCCAGAGCTCCACTGCATGTCCTACAGGAAAGCACATACAGGCAGATAAAACACAGGGCCTATAACATTCATCTGGTTAGTTCAACATGCCAGATTAGAGGATATAGGGTCTGGTGTTAGGGCTGTGGGTATAGGGTCTGGTGTTAGGGCTGTGGGTATAGGGTCTGGTGTTAGGGCTGTGGGTATAGGGTCTGGTGTTAGGGCTGTGGGTATAGGGTCTGGTGTTAGGGCTGTGGGTATAGGGTCTGGTGTTAGGCTGTGGGTATAGGGTCTGGTGTTAGGGCTGTGGGTATAGGGTCTGGTGTTAGGGCTGTGGGTATAGGGTCTGGTGTTAGGGCTGTGGGTATAGGGTCTGGTGTTAGGGCTGTGGGTATAGGGTCTGGTGTTAGGGCTGTGGGTATAGGGTCTGGTGTTAGGCTGTGGGTATAGTTTAAAAATGACAGTGGTAGGAGTAATGCTTTTAGACTGGATCCACAAGGGAAGTTACTTGGACACAGTAGCTCAGTAGCAGAGTTGGGGCTGGTAGTTTTAGGTTGTGGTGCTGTGTGGCAGGACAGTACTTTGCTCCAGGGCAGGGCAGGGCTAGGGGAGTGCCCTCTTTGCCTTCTTGCTCTCAGGGCCGTCTCCTGCGTTTTGGCCTGACCGCTTTGGCTCTTTGCTCCTCTCTTTGTCACCCACAGCACACGGCTTTACCTGGAAGTTATCAACAGTCATTACCAATCCCTCTGGATTTCACATGAGATTCTACAGAAAATACAACCAGGTTTAGTTTGTCTAAACTGGTTATGACTCTAGATGGAGGGATGGAGGGTTCACTGTACCATGACCAAACAGATGAAACAAGGAGACAAGGGTGAGTGTGCAGGGTGCATAGGGCGAGTGCAAACACAAACCTACACAAAAACTGTCAATTGTTTGTGCTTCATTTGTGCTTCTTTATTAATTTGCTCTTCAATGAGTAGCAGTTTTTCCAAATGTTACTCTTGAGTAATTTCTTGGACCTCTACTTTGTGCGTGAGTAATATTATTTTCCAATAACATTACTTACTTGAGTACAAATTTTGGCTACTCTAACCACTTTTGAAAATAAGTAAATAAATAAAATAAAATAAAATCACAGTCTTGGTGTATGATAAGGCCTGTAGCTGAGACTGTGCAGTGTGTGCAGTGTGCAGCAGTGATGTGGGGGTGACATGTTTGAATGAACCATACAAAATAACATCTTGGGCTGGACAGGGGCTTGTGGTCACAAGTTTGCAGGACTCACCGCAGCTGCCCCCGGGGACCTCATGTTCATGCTCAGTCTGTGGTTGGAGCTCTTGAGGAGGGGAGCTTTCCGGCCCAGTTTGAGGTAGAAGTGTGTGGTGTAGGGCGTGAAGCTGAAGTCCTCCCTGAAGGAAACACCAGAGCTGTTAGTACAGACAGACACAGCATGGGCCAGTACTCTGTGCCCTGTGGGGGATATCCACACACTAGACATTTTTAAACGAGAGGGGGGGGGGGGAGTTCACCATTTTTGCGCTTTCTACCATGATAAAATGTTGTTCCCTCATCAAAATCATGCCTGAAGAAGTTTTAGATGTCATCTATGCATGTTTGAGTATTTTAGCAATCTCTCCCAGGCCCTACTCTAACCTTCCTTAGGGGTAGCTATAAGATTCTGTGCAATGCTCCATCCACAAGCTTACATCCCACACGACAATTCTCCATAAATATTCAAAACGTGAATTGTACAAAGAAACTTGACAAACTTGATGCGATGTGCAGTATGCAGGATGCATGTTGAGTGTGCTGTGACAGCTCTGAGGGGGCATAAAATATTTTCCAGATAAAACATTGACATTTGCAGCTTATTTTTCCTAAAAACCATGAAAGATGAGTGGGGCAGTAATACTGTGAGGGTAACAATGTAGAAGTGAGTGTTCACTGTAGGGATGCAACAATACAGTTTTCCCATGATTCGCTACATATCTCAATACACGGGTCACGATATTGATTTAATTTCAATACGTTTTAAGATGCAAAAAAAAATATAAAAAATCATGTAATTTTTTTCTGCTAATGAGTATAATATAAAAACAATATGATATTAATGAAACATTACATACAATACACACAATACACTACAGTAGAACTACTACTAAAGTTATGGTTCATAGGTTAAGTGTTGTTCAATTCATTTGGTTCAATGATTTATAGCACAAAATTTTTATTCAGTGAAAATAAGAACAGACTTTTCTCTGTTATACTTTATAATATACCAGTCTATTCTTAATATAGACTGTAGGGGAGTTACACACTGTCCTGCTACAGTCTGTGATACACAGCATTCTCCCATTCTCTTTCTGGATACTAAAACTATATTATAATATATAATATATATATATATAATATATAATGCAGAAATGTCTCAACAGACTGTTTTCTAAGTAAAACGTATGAGATACAGAGTCTGAAAAAAACACTGTGTATATCGTACACATGTATCACAGGTGCGAATAGGAGAGCATTTGATTAAAGCTGATGTGAAGGCAAAAGCGATTCTAAAGTATTTAAAAGTGAATGTCTTTGTCATTCCTGGGTCTATTAACGTAAAGTAAAAAGTGAGTGTAAGTCCATATGGAGCTGTTTTCTTGCTGCATCTGAGGAAGGTGATAACCCTTTTCCTTTCAGACCAAAATAAATGACAACAGAGCGCATTGGAGGGACACCTGCATATTGACCGAACATGTGTATCGCATTGTGACACCAGTTTCGAACGATTCGATATATATCGTTGTATCTCTAGTTGAGTGTGACCTGAGGTATCCGAGCAGCAGCATGTGCACCAGCACGGCCTCGGCGTGGTGCCGTCCCAGTGTGGTGCTCTGGATCATCTTCCTGTGTTTGGCCGGGCCCTTCCCGCTCCAGGCCTCCAGCAGCTTCAGGGGAGTCAGCCTCTCGTCCTGAGACGCAGCCAGCTCCAGGATCTGCACCACCTGCCGCGCATGAGGACTGATATCCACCGAGGTGTATTCTAGAGGGGAGAAAAGCAGAGGGTTAATAAGGGCCAACCATTAGAGTAGTGACGTCACGGTACCACATACCAGCCAGATCATAAGTACTTTACATTTAGGTTCATTTATTGGGAATGTCCAGCCAGAGAAGTCAAACCAGAGCAGTCTAATAGTGAAAAAGACACACCGTTTCCATGGCGACAGGTGTCACACATCTGGTTGCAGTCCTTCTTGTCCCACACTTCATCAAAGTGAACAGCCATGAGAGAGCGCCGACACCTGCCAGCACAACAGTTACTGTCACATGGACGTCACATTTTAACATGTTCTTAGGCATCAATAAATTATCTAGCTGTGTGGTTGTGGTCAGGTCATGATGAGGTTTCACTCTGTTCCTCTGAGGGAAGTCCAGGAAGTACTCTTTTATCTCTTTTTACACAAACACAAGTCAGGTCAATCCCAACCCTTGTCTTAGCCTGTTATTACAATGTTTTTATGATTTTATATTAAAAGAGTTTTTATGAAGGGGGGTGCATTGTACCTGTCCACATTCTGGCAGTAGTCCACCATCTGCAGCAGCTTCTGTTGGCCCACGTTCTCCATGACCACCATAGTGCTGATCCTGAAGATATCTGCAAAGCCATAGTAGACGACGCAGTCTGCTGGCTGGTCGTCTCGACCTGCGACACACAAATACAAGTGTAAGTACAGTGGCTAAGGCATGATGCTTCACCCATATTGCCTTGTATGAATGTGGTGTGTGCACAAATGATTGGTGGTGGTCGAAGGACCAATGGCGCAGATTGGCAGCCTAGCTTCTGTCAGTCTGCCACAGGGCACGTGTGGCTACAAAAGTAGCTTACCACCACAAAGTGTGGAGTGAATAATAACACACACACACACACAGACCTGCGCGGCCGCTCTCCTGGTAGTAGTTCTCGATGGACTTGCTGATGGTGTGGTGGATCACGAAGCGGACGTTGGGCTTGTCTATGCCCATGCCAAAGGCCACTGTGGCCACCACCACCTGACAACACACAGGCCCCCCAACACCCACATCACATCACATCACATCACTAGAAACACCATTATGAAGTTATCCATTTGGAGCAGCCTTTAGCATATCCTTCAGTTGGAGAGCTTCTCCTGATGCCATGTAAATGTAGTAAGTTGAGCAACACAAAATGATCACATACAAAAGATTTAAATGGTCAACAATGTATCAAGATATGGAAGATAAACTTCAAGATAATAAAGACTTGCATTTGTGCTTAGTTATTATTTAAGTTTTAGTTCCACTTCTTCCACTCCTAACATCTCTCTTATTATTTTAGCCTCTGCAGAGAGAGTGTTTAAGTCACTCTAGGCCTGTAATTGCCATAAACGTCACACTACATCAGCCAGACATGATGTAGCCATGTGACTTCATGATTGTATCATTTGGAATGGTGGAGTCAAAGTGCCCCTGAGCCTCTGCTCTGCTCTGCACCCAGACCACAGCAGCTCTTGCCTGTATCTTGTTGGAGGTCCATTTGCGATGGACTCTGGACTTGTCATTAGCGTCCATGTTGGCGTGGTATGGGTAAGCCACGATGTCCCGCTTCTGTAGCTCAGAGGACACGGTCTCTGCGTCCTTCTGGGAGAAGACATAAACAATCCCTGAGGACACAGGAGTGAGAGAATGAGCAGTGTACAGCAGTGTATCCCATCAGGCCTGTGTTTGGGTCCTCTGTACCTGACTGGCCCTGGTATTTTTTCGTGATCAATGAGGCTATGTCATTTAAAGATGTGTCACTGTCTGAAGCTTTGAATCGCACCTGCAAAAAAAGAAAAAAACAAAAGACTGTAAAAAAGGTTGTAAAATGCTTTTAAAGTGCTCTGTATTATTTGCTGGATTTAATATGCATTTTTTTATATTACTATTTTTTTTAAAGAGCTGATGTATTGTAAAAAAATATATACTAAAATTTTTAAAAATGTAAAAAGTAAGGATTGGGTCTACAAACTTGTCATATTATTAAACCCGTAAGTCCTTTCAACAGACAACAATCACAAATTTGTGTTTGAGTAAGGTATTGAGGCTATTCTGAAAAACAAATGTTTACCTTAGTTTGTTTCCCTGAATTTTGTGTCAGTTTTTGTTTTATGTATTACAGAGATATTAACCATAAAAAAGGTCAAACAGTTGCAGTTTGACTTTTAAAAGGTAAATCTGATCACAGACTCTGACCACACATGCCTGTGGAGCATGGGAGATCGCAGGTAATACCAGAGGCTCTAGTGAAAACTGTTATTGTGTCTTTAGGCAAGACATTTCACTCAAATGCTCTGGCTGTCATGACCAGTGTGATATAAATCCAATGTAGCATTATTATTAAAATGAGTCCCGCTGTAGAAATCATCTACAGAAGTGATTGTTCGAGTGAGAGGAGCAGAGGGAGCAGAGCGAGCACCTCATAGTAGAGGTTGGTGCGGTTGAAGGAGGCAGTTAGGGTGATGGGGCGTGACACATTCAAGATCTTCTCACAGTCCTGGAGCACACTGGAGGTGGCTGTAGCAGTCAGGCCTAACAGAGGGACCAGGGGGAACTGTCTCTTCAGGATGCCCAGCAGCTTGTAATCTGCAGCACACAAAGACACAGAGAGACAATTATAGGTCATTGTTTATCTATATAAATAATTACTAGTAGAAACCACTTTTTGAGTTTACTAGTTATTACTTATTTATTATTAATTTGTATAGAAAAAGTCTTAAGTGATAGGAATATAAAAAGCACAAAAATGCAAATTATTCATTACATTGCTCTAACCGCATGAATGATGAGGATTATGGACTTCTATTTTGCTTTATTACTTATTTGTGAGGTCTGCTCCCTCTAAACTCCATGAAAACATGCAATGTGACAGAAGAGTCCAAATGTGGAGTTTTCCTGATCATTTCTATATTTCTGTCCTCAAATCCTGTTCATTATAACTGCATGTTTCAATGAGCATGTCAGAAAAAGCTACTAAAAGCTGCTTGAGTTTGTGCTTTTTTCAGATGTAATTCCCTCTGTTGCTGGGATTCATTTCAACCCTGAGAGATCCCATCTCTACTCAATAAAGAGTAAAAGGTTGTTGCTGACTTGAAAACAATGGCCTGATGACATTACAAGGTGGAACAGAGTATTTTGAGCTTTGGAGATTAGACAGACTCAACCCTTGAAGACGTCTGCGTGGGCTGAATAAAGCAGAACACTAGTCCGGGTACGTCTTTAATGAGACATCGTTCTAAAATTCTAATATTATGTGTAATACAGGACCTTTAAAGACCTGTAACAATGCAAAGAATGCATAATATTTGCTTTTTAATGGTTGATGTAGGGACAGATCAGGTCTCACCAGGCCTGAAGTCATGGCCCCACTGGCTGCAGCAGTGCACCTCATCCACGGCCACACGGCTCAGCAGCTGGGCCTTGTATGCCTTCTCCAGACGTGACATCAGTAGCTTGCTCTTGGCGATCTTTTCCGGGGTCACGTAGATCAGCTTAAAGGGGCTCTTAGGCTCGGTCATGGCTGCCATCACTGTTTTAGCATGCTCCTGAAGGCAACACACAAAAGACATGGTTGAAATTGTTCTTTGTGTGTCTGACTAAAATTATTTGTAGCTCTAGTTAGTGCTGTCAAATGATTAAAAAATTTAGAGATTAATTAATTATGATCTGTAATTAATTAATCTCTTTTTTAATCTCACCTAAAAATTGCTGAGAAAAGCTTCAACTTGAGGCATTTTCATTTGAATTCATTATTACATTATTTTCATACTATCATCAACGTTTTTATATAAGTATCATCATTATTACTGTTACTAATCTGCATAAATAAACTCAACTTTACAACATATAAACATCACCACTCTAGAGCCACATCAGCCTGTTTGACATTATAATGTGTTTAATGCAGCTTTTCACAAGTCTCACAGAAACAAAACTTAAAACTGCATGGCTAATTTGCATAAACTAAGCAGAGGAATGAAGAAGAAAAAAAACAAAAAAACGCTTGTGTCGCTGATATGGTTCAACTTCTACTAAAGGACATGACTCAGTGGAATATGAGTGTTCTTTCTGTGACAGAGGGATGTTGATGGTGAAGGTGAGTCTGTTTTGTGTGTATGTCGTGATGTTTTCAGAGATCAGACGTGTGCAGGTTTATCACAAATGCGGCAAGAATGGGAATAAAATTTTAATTCTTTGCGGGAGCGAGCAGAGCAGGACTGCACAGTGACTGTGTCCTAACAACACATAAAAACAGATTTTATAATAAGGCAACTCGCGAACAGAAACAGTAAAGTTAGAGATTAAAAATAAGATTAACACGATTAAAAAACATAACTCTCTAAATATGACTTTAATTAATTCATCGCAATTAACGTGATAATTTGACACCCCTAATTCTAGTCAATGGTTATTCTTCAGTTTTACATTTTCCATGGAAATAGACTGTGGAACATTATAGCCAAAGGAACATTTCCATGGAAACAAACATGACGAGGCCTTCCTCCAGGCTAATAAGAGTCAGGTTTGTGGAGATACAAGTCCACTCACAGCAATAATGCTTTTTATGTTTTTAGTGCAATAAAAACTGTTTAGAATTTGGCTAAATGTTACGTAGTAGAGCTTTAAACTAGGAAACACTACTGTAAGCAATGTGTTAAATAGTTTCTCTTCAAAATATTCAGTCACAAACAATGTTCTCATTGTAGACATGCTCATGAAAGTAGTAGATGACAGCTTTGGCATGTCACCATTTGAAACATGATGCTCCACTCCTCTCCTCTTTTCTAGAGTGATGTGCACTAATGCTGGTGTTACCTTGGTGCTGGAGGCGTTGAGCATGGCAGCAGGTACCTCCAGAGAACGCAAGAACATGATCTGATCCTCCATGAGCGAGACCAGAGGAGTGACCACCAGTGTGAAGCCTGCACACAGACAACACACACATGGCACCTGTACCAATACTGGTATTGAATATCGGTGCCGATCCACAAACATCTGCAGATCGTCAGTTCAGCTGATATCCTGGTTGGAATCTTAACTGGCTGATGTAAGCCCAGGACATCTCAGAATGTTTGAAGTTTAATTCATGCAAAGCTGTTCAGCAGTTACTTTCATAAAAGTTACATAACACAATCGGATCAATTTTGACATTTTCAGTCCCAAACAAAACAAAACAAAATCTGCAGAATTGTGTTCCAACTATGAGGAAACTAACAGAATCAATCAATAAAAAAAAATAAAAATAAAATCGATGAACAAAAAAATAATAAAATCAGTACATAAAGGCAGTACTAAAAAAAATAAATTAGAAAGTAGAACGTAAAAGTAGAAAAACAATTGTCCACTGCCTCCAGTGGCCTCTGCAATTTCAAGTACTACATGACATCCCACATGACTGGTTAGTAAGGAGACAAGGGAGGAGACAAATAAAGATACAAGGCAGCACTACATTTTCATGACTTATTTTAAACAAAGTAATACTAGTATAGTCATGTAATACAGAGTAAAGATGCAAACTAATGCTAATGGAGATGTTAAAGGCACAAAGAAGGAGATAATCAAGGAGGCAAGGGAGGAGGCTGTAAGGATGTAAGGACAGAAAGGAGAGGAGAGAGAAGAAAAGGAGGGAGGCGATGAGACTGATGAGGAAGTGCATAGGCACCAGTGATCAGGCTCCAGCAGTACCTGTCCTCCGTCAGTACCTGTCCTCCGTCAGTACCTGTGCTCCGTCAGTACCTGTCCTCCGTCAGTACCTGTCCTCCGTCAGTACCTGTCCTCCGTCAGTACCTGTCCTCCGTCAGTACCTGTCCTCCGTCAGTACCTGTGCTCCGTCAGTACCTGTGCTCCGTCAGTACTGTGCTCCGTCAGTACCTGTGCTCCGTCAGTACCTGTGCTCCGTCAGTACCTGTGCTCCGTCAGTAACTGTCCTCCGTCAGTACCTGTGCTCCGTCAGTACCTGTGCTCCGTCAGTAGCTGTCCTCCGTCAGTAGCTGTCCTCCGTCAGTACCTGTCCTCCGTCAGTACCTGTCCTCCGTCAGTACCTGTCCTCCGTCAGTACCTGTGCTGCAGAGCGCGGGCAGCTGGTAGCACAGACTCTTGCCCCGGCCTGTGGGCATGACGAGGAACAGGTCTCTGGAGGACATGGTCAGGTTTATGGCTCTCAGCTGCAGAGGCCGGAACTGATGCAGGCGGAACGTGTCCTGTAGGTGGCGCTGTGCTTCATCTGACCAGGGGAAATCTGCACACAGAAGAGAAAGGCAGCCATCAGCAACTTTGTGTGAATGATAGTTTGTGTTCTTAGTAATATGTACTAGTACATCTAAAAAAAATAAAAATTAATTAATAAAAAAATATATATTTTATGTCACTTATTTTGGAAAGTCAAACCAATATATTATATAGACCAGCGGTTTTCAATAGGTGAGGTGACACAGATGACCTAAACCGGGAGGACTAAACCGGGACTGAACTAGGAATAAAACAGGACTAAATGAGGACTAAACCAGAACTGAACCAGAACTGAACCAGGACTGAACCAGGACTGAGAGTCAGGACAGGCCCGGAGGTGCGCCCGCGTGGACTGTCAGGTGTCCACAGGCGAGAGAACCCGTGCAGCTCCACACCTCACAGAGCTAAGCGCACCAGTCGCCCGATTGCGCTTTGTGGACACCCTGCTCTGTGGGCTCGGGGTAGAGCACTGCTCTCCCATGGGTTTCCAGCGGGTCCCAACGCAAAATAGTGCAGCATGGGACACATTTTGAAAGCTCACTGCAGCCGCGGGCGGGAGCGGGATTGCACAATGTGAAAGCAGGTGGGTGGGATGATAAACTGCAGACCCGCAAACTAAATATGAGTGTAAAGTCCATCCATCCATTTTCTTCCGCTTATCCGGAGCCGGGTCAGGGGGGCAGCAGTTTAAGCAGGGACTCCCAGACTTCCTTCACCCCAGACACTTCCTCCAGCTCCTCCAAGGGGACCCCGAGGTGTTTCCTGGCCAGCCCAGAGACATAGTCCCTCCAGCGTGTCCTGGGTCTTCCCCAGGGCCTCCTTCCTGTGGGACATGCCCGGAACACCTCCCGAGGGAAACACCCAGGAGGCATCTGGCCTGAGCCACCTCATGTGGAAGAGCAGCGGCTCTACTCCAAGCTCCTCCTGTGTGACTGAACTCCTCACCTTATCTCTAAGGGAGCGCCCAGCCACCCTGTGGAGGAAACTCATTTTGACCACTTGTATTGGCGATCTCGTCCTTTCTTTCATTACCCAGAGCTCATGACCCTAGGTGACAGTAGGAACGTAGACTGACCGGTAAATCGAGAGCTTCACCTTTTGGCTCAACTCGTTCTTCACCACAACGGTCCTGTAGACGCTGCAATGATCCGCCTGTTAACACCTCATCCTCTGTCTTCCCTCACTCGTGAACAAGACCCCGAGATACTTGAACTCCTCCACTTGACGCAAGGACTCTCCACCCACCCGGAGAGGGCAAGACACCTTTTTCCATTCAAGAACCACGACCTTGGATTTGGAGAAGCTGATCTTCATCCCAGCCGCTTCACACTCGGCTGCAAACTGCTCCAGTGCACATTGCAGGTCCTGGCCTGATGAAGCCAACAGCACAACATCCTCTGCGAACAGCAGAAATGAGATCCTGTGGTTCCCAAATCCGGACCCCCTCCGGCCCCTGACTGCGCCTAGAAATTCTGTCCATAAATACAATGAACAGAACCGGTGACAAAGGGCAGCCCTGGGAGAGTCCAACATGCACCGGGAAGAGGTCTTGACTTACTGCCAGCAATAAACATAGCTCCTGCTCTGGTCATACAGGGACTGGACAGCCCTTAGCAAAGGGCCCCGGACCCCATACTCCCAGAGCACCCCCCACAGGACACCACGAGGAACATGATCGAATGCCTTCTCCAGATCCACAAAGCACATGTGGACTGTTTGGGCAAACTCCCATGAACCCTGGAGCACCCGATGGAGAGTGTAGAGCTGGTCCAGTGTTCCACGACCAGGACCAAAACCTCCTTCCTCCTCCTGGATCCAAGGTTCCAGTATCAGCCAGATTCTCCTCTCCAGTACCCTGGAATAGACCTTACCGTGGAGGCTGAGGAGTGTGATTCCCCTGTAGTTGGAACACACCCTCCGGTCCCCCTTCTTATACAGAGGGACCAACACCCCAGTTTGCCAGTCCAGAGGTACTGTTCCCGATCACCACGTGATGTTGAAGAGGCATGTCAGCCATGACCCACAACATCCAGAGACTTAAGATACTCAGGATATATCTCATCCCGGAGCCTTGCCACCAAGGAGCTTACCAACCATCTCAGTTACTTCAGCCAGGGTGATGGATGAGTCCGTCTCCGAGTCCCCAGCCTCGGCTTAATCCTTGGAAGATGTGCGGTGGGATTGAGGAGATCCTCAAAGTACTCCTTCCACTGCCCGACAACATCCCCAGTCAAGGTCAACAGCTGTCCCCCCACACTGTAAACAGTGTTGGTGAAGAACTGCTTCCCTCTCCTGAGGTGCCGGATGGTTTGCCAGAATCTCTTTGAAGCCGTCTGATAGTCCTGTTCTATGGCCTCTCCGAACTTCTCCCAGCCCCTTAGAAGTCAAGCGAGCCAACAAGGCCCGATAGGACTCTTTCTTCAGCCTGATCCCTTACTTCTGACATCCACCACTGGATTTGGGGACTGCCGCAGCGACAGGCACTAGAGACCTTATTTTTTTTAATCATTTAATGTAAGATGATGTAATCCCTTTAAATGGGATTTAAAAAAGATGTATCCAGTCTGATTGCTCAGCATGGAGTGTTGGCTTGCACATGTTCTGAGAAGCCACTTTAAAAACCATAAACCTGCCCCTATGAATGCATACAGATGGTTAAGGCAAGATTTAGAAACAAACATCCTTTTAGTTTTTTAAGAACAAGCCGAGTTTGTACCTGCTCTGTCGTAGCGCTCCAGCTCCTGTTTGGTGATGGCCGGTGCTCCCTGTGAAGAAGAGGAAGAGGAGGAGGAGGAGGTCCCGTGCCCGGACCCTTCCTCCAGCTGGGACAGCAAAGCTTTGCGCACAGACTCCAGCTCTTCCTGCCTCTTCAGCAGTTCTGAGATCTGCTCCTCCACCCGCTGGAGCTCTACCTCCACTTGCTGTAGCTCTGCATGCACATCTGCAACAACACACAAATACTCCAGCACACAAAAGTATTGAACATCAGACACCATTTGAAACTAGATAGTAATCTGAGCTAAAACATTCACAGGACAAAATTGGGCTTTCCTGAACAGTTTTACCAGAAGTATAAGAGTACATGAGTAGATTTGTGGGGTAAACTTTGAGTAGATATTTCAACTTGTACTTGTAATTGAGTGTAATTCTAGCCATGTAATTGCAATTAGTTACATTTAGAGTACTGAACGATTCCTAAGTGGTCCGATCCATATCTGTCTCTGCTCCTTTTTATATTGAAAAACTTACATAACAGCACTGTATCGCCTGCTGTGATTGGTCAGAGTTCAGAGAATACGTGGATTCAGGTCTAGAACAAGATCAAGTTTTGTATAAAAGTGTGACCTAAATGCTTCTAATATTTTGTTAAAAAGGAGCTAGTAAGGCAAAGGAGACATTCAATTTGTCTACTGGACAAACTTTATTTAGGTTGAAAACGTTTTGCAGCTCATCCAAGCTGATTCTTCAGTTTCGCAGTTTGGATGAGCTGCCAAACATTTTCAACCTAAATAAACCTTTGTCCAGCTGAGAAATAGAATTTCTCCTTTGCCATAGATTCTACCTGGACGACTGAGGGATTCTACACACATCTTGAGAAGGAACTAGTAACTAATACTCCGAATAGAATTTTTTATGAATACTTTTTACTTTTACTTAAGTACAATTTTGGCAGCAGTATTTATACTTGTAATTGGGTACATCATCAGCCATGTACTTTTACTTGACTACACATGTACTCTGTACTCTTTCCACCACAGCTTAAAGGCTCATTGTGCAACTTTTCTGGTGGGGGGCCTGTCACCTGCTTGTTTCTATGGAGATGTCATTGCTCTGCCTGGAATGTTCCACAGTATGACATTAAACCTTACTCAATAAAAAAAAAAAAAAAAAAAAAAGAAGAGAAAAAGAAAAGAAAAACACTGACTATTGTATCCACAGATCTGACCAGTAACTTGGTCTGGTTTGGCCTCCATGAAGAAAGTGAAACATTCCAAACAGAGTAAGAACATCTCCATGGAGAAAAGCATTTGACGGAACCTCCACCAGAAAAGTTACACAATGCACTCTATTTGAAATAAATTACCAGACTTACCACCATCTTCACCAGCGTCCATGACTCTAAACTCACACAGACCAAGCACCTTGCTCTTGTCTACTCAAGCAGGACTGTCTCTGGATAATTATGATTAAGTGGCTCATGGGAAACACAGTGGAGTTCGTACTTATGGAGATTATAGCAGATAGATGTGTAGCAGGTCTGTAAAGTATTGGATCATTGTCTTCTGGAGGTCTGTTGTGCGTTTCCAGCCGAGGTTGTGAGGCGTGGGACCCGGGACGGATGCTCCAACCACGTGGCTTTAAAATCCACAGACCAGGGCGGATATTACACTTTCACGTTTTGTACTGCGCGTCTGCGAAACGTAAAATAATCAAACCTATATGTCATATATTCGAGAAATTATACATGGCATGATATGTGATTAATTGTGGGTTTTATTAAAGCAAGGTAGCTATTTATCAATCTTCTGACGCGTTTAAAAAGCCTTGGAGCGACTTTGCGGGGACGAGTTTTTGGTTTTCTTTAGTGTTCTTAAACGCGTCACTGTATTTTTGCGGAAATGACCCGCGTTGCCAATTTTTTATTTATTATTTTTTTTAAACAGAAAATAAACAAATACAAACAAACAAACAATACTAGACCAGCCACAGCCAAAGGTCACACATAACCAAAGTTCACGTTAACAAAAAAAAGTATAAATTAAATTGTTCAGAATTTTAACCTCTTTGGAACTGGGTGATAAGTGGATGGTTTTCTTATAATATTGTATTTCGGAAACAAGTTCTTGTTTTTTTCTTTAGCGTTCTTAAACCATCTTAAACGAGTCACTGTGTTATTGCGGAAATGACGTCAGGGCGCGTTGTGTTTCCGGAAGACGTGGCTGTCATGGCGTCTGTGACAGGGGGCTGACACTTTAGCACAAACTTGTACTTTTATTTCCTTTTAGAAGTGTTGGATCAGAGCGGACGCCAGGATGATTTCGCTGACGGATTCTCAGAGTAAGACCCGAGAAAAATCGCGTGTATTTGTGAACTGTTTTCGCCTAGATTCTCGTTTGAAGTTGTTCTAGTCGCAAATGTCCATGATGTTCCAGAGTTCAGTCCCAGCTCATTGTAACTGATGGCAGCGGTTTAAAGCGTTAAATGTGCGGTGTAGCTTTTCTGGAGGAGGCTTGCTTGTCTTCATGGTAGGGTGACTAGACGTCCCTATTTCCCCCGGGACAGTCCCAGTTTTGAGCCCTGTGTCCCCTGTTCCAGCAGATTTATACAACAGTGATTTGTCCCAGTTATTATACAAGAAATGTCCCAGGTGTCCATGTTTTTGACCCATTTGATCCCTGCCAATAGTAAGAAGAGGCATAAACTGTCATTTGTTTAGGTAAAATACAGAAAAGCTGCTTGAAAAGTCCAAAACACAAAGAAAATATCTGAAATCATTTTAATCAATACCCCCCAATCCACCTCCCATACCAGCAATAGTCTCAGCCCTCTTGCTCCCAGCATCACCCCTGCTGCCACAACCCCCTGTGTAATTTTTGAATCTCACTTCAACTTCCCAATTCCCAATCCTGTTTTCTCCACCTCCTCACAGTTAGAAAAATCAAAACTATCCTCTCCTGTCCTGATCTTGAAAAACTCATCTTCTCCCGTCTAGACTATTGCAACTCCCTCCTCTCCGGCCTCAACTCCAAATCCATCTCCCACTTCCAACGGGTTCAGAACACAGCAGCTCAGCTCCTCACTGGGTTTAACAGGCATCAACACATGACTCTGTTTTACTTCCCTTCACTGGCTGCATGGGGGTTTTACAATCAATTTTAAGATTTTACTGATCACTTTTAAAGCTCGCTTAGGGCTTGCACCAAGCTACATTTCAGAACTTTAAGCCCGTATGAGCCTCCCGCAGCCGCAGATCCTCAGGCAGGTCCCTGTGGCTGTTCCTAAATTCAGGCTCTGAACAAAGTCTGATGGAGCCTTTTCAGTCCGGGTGCCTCGCCTTTGGAACAACCTGTCTGAGGAGATGAGACCATCAGTATCATCTTTTAAATCACTTCAGTTTTATCGGTTGGCCTTTCTTTAACTTTTAATTTTTCCTTATTTATTTTTACTCAGTTTCTTTTTATTTATTATAATCAATTGGATTATTTGCATCATTATCTGTTTTTGTCTGTTTTCTGCATGCTTTTTTATGCTTTTTGTATTGTTCATTGTTGCTTGTACAGCACTTTGTAAATGTTATTTTTAAAAGTGCTTTATGAAGAAAGATGTATTATTATTATGATGATGATGATGATGATTATTATTATTATTATTATTATTGTTATTGTTATTATTATTATTATTATTATTATTATTATCATTTGCCATCATTAAACCATAAATCATTGTAAACAATCTAACCTTGTGTGTGTGTGTGTGTGTGTGTGGACAGAGATTGGCATGGGGCTGACGGGCTTCGGTGTGTTCTTCCTTTTCTTCGGGATGATCCTGTTCTTTGACAAAGCCCTTTTGGCCATCGGCAATGTGAGTCCTCCAGCACAGCAGAACACTAACACTAGTCAGTACACATTTAAATAGAGGAACTTTAAATTACTGGAACTAAAAAAAACATCAGGCCACTGTGTTCCTTTATATTTGATTTGAATTACTTTATATATATATTATATATATATATATATATATATATATATATATATATATATATATATATATATATATATATATATATTAGAGAGAGAGAGAGAGCATGAGGAGAGCATGAGTTAAAACACTTTTTCACACACACAGTTTCCGCTTTAATGCAGTTTTAGAAGATAGTTATGTGTATAACTCAACATTTTCTAATGAACTCTTTAAAAGTGTCAGGATACATCATCTCATATGGATATGCATATTGCCAAGAAGTCTGCTACCATCTATTTCTAATCTATTGCTGCACTGATATTTGGACTACAGCCCTACAAGCTGTTGTAGATCAATATTGTTGTTATTATTATATTAGTTAGTTATAATAAGTTATAAGTTATAATAATGATCTAGTTGGTGATTGCAGGACTAATAAATAAGAATGAAGATTTAAAGTTGAATTAATTATGTTTTAACTCAACACAGAGCATGTGCAGAGCAGGGCATTAGGCTAACATCATTTGAATGAATCAAAGAAATACAAAATGTACTTGTCAAGTAAATCTAAACTAAAACTTAAAGTGAAATCATGTAGCTTTCAGGAGGTGGCACGTCACCTGCATGATTCTATGGAAATAGTTGTTAAAGAAACAAAAAACATTTTCATGGAAAAAAGCAGAACAAGACTGTCCTTGAGGCCATTATCTTATAAAAAGCCTCTTAATTAAAGTTACATCTTGTCTATGTTACTTTCCCTTGTCTCTAGAAAACTGGTTTTATACAATGGTTTTATTTATTTTTTATGTACTGTTGACACAGTTGATGATTTAATGGTACAATGTTTAACTCTTCTGGTGGTGGGTCTGCTGACTTGTTGACTCAATGGAGATCCAACAATGTTCCGCAGTACTGTATGTCATATGCATCTCCATGGAGAATTTTAGATACATACAGTATGTATTAACGTGTTGGGGAACATTACAGGAAAATCAATAACATTTTCCTACAGATTAACAGGGAAAACCAGAAAAGTTCCACAGTGCCTCTTTAACATGAACCCCTCAGCCCGTCACATCTCTTATGTCTTTTCAAACATCTCCGCCCCCTGTGCTGTCTTGTTTGGCAGGTTTTGTTCGTGGTGGGTCTGGCCTTTGTCATCGGTCTGGAGAGGACCTTCCGCTTCTTCTTCCAGAGACACAAGCTGAAGGCCAGTAGCTTGTTCCTGGGTGGGGTGCTTATCGTGCTCATCGGGTGGCCCATCATCGGGGTGCTCTTGGAGCTCTATGGCTTCTTCCTCCTCTTCAGGTTCACACTGCTGCAGTTTTTACACTTTATCTGTTACTAGAATGTCTATCTCTTACTGCAAGTCGCTAATCAACTTTTTACACTACTTAGTTACTTCAAAAAAGTACATTACTTTGAGATTACTGTTCTATACAACTGTATAAATGAATCAAACATGTGCTTTTATTTAGTTTTTTATATTTAAATACAGGTAAAGAAGAAATGAGTTGTTTAAATTGTCTCAAATGTCATCACACCAACTATAGAAATGTGTAATATTATGGCACTGCTTCTGTCTGCTTCTCTGAAGCAGAAGTCATGTATGTGGGTAATGTGTAATGTGGGTATTTTGTCAGTGATGTCTTTTAATTACAAGTATTTTCACAGTAATGCGTTACACTACTAGTGTACTTAATATTACTATCCAGTTAGAGTAAGTAAGTGTTTGTATTTCAGTTACACCTAACACTGGAACTTGGGCAAGACAACATCCAGCCACTTGAAGTTGATAAGGTCCAAATTTAGTAGAAGTCCTGAAGTAACCAGAGCCACCACTAGAGGCCACTGTGTTGTCATATAGTGCAGCCATACTGTTGTCCCGGTGCTGAGTGTATGTGTGCTGTCTCCAGGGGCTTCTTTCCGGTGGTGGTGGGCTTCATCAGGAGGATCCCTGTGCTGGGGGCCCTACTCAACCTGCCCTTCATCAGCTCGGTGAGTGCCCCACTGCCCCCATGCTCCCCTTTGTGTCCTCCTTTGTGCCTCTCCTGGGCCCAACTCCTTATGGTTAGCAGTAAGTCTGGGCAATATGGGACAATAAAGAATCACATTTCTTCCCCCCATATTGCTTGATTTCGATTTTCAATTCAATCTTCATAGACAGACATAAAGAATGGTGTGTAAGGATCACTGCAGTTTTTATTTTGTGTTGATAGGGCCAATAACTCTGGAGAAATCCACATGTGAAGTTTGTAATGAGTTTGTACAATATATTAAACCTAAATGCATGTGCAGGTTACTGTTAGTGGCAGATACACAAGCACGCGTGTACTACCTCTATCAACAGAAACATGTGCGATGTCTGTGTGCTAAAGCAGGACTTAAGTTTCAGTCGTAAAAGGTGAGAAAATTGTCATTTACTTTCAGTAATTTGAATTATAAAGATGAGAAGCACCAGAGGAGAGCAAGAGGAGAAACTGGACTTTTAGTCAAATTGTCCAGAGTTACCTAAAAACTTGTGAACACTTGAAGAGACATAAAGAGACACACTGTGGCTCAGGCTGCTTTTTCCTAAACAAGAGCTTAATTCGTCATCAGCACCATGTGCTCTTACTGTCATGTGACTGGCAGTAGACCTGTCAATGACCTTATCTTCGAAATCAACCAAGCTGAGATTGCAATCTATCAATCTTACGATTTTTGGCACAGCCCTAGTTAGCAGTTCTGTGCAATGCTCAGTCCACAAGCCTACGTCACCCATGCTCCCACGCGACAATACAAAGCTGTACACTACAACTTGACAAACCTGATGCAATGTGCCGTAGTTTCGTTAGTGGGATACATGCTGAGTGTGCTGTGATAGTGCTGAAAGGGGAGTGCATCAGGTGAAAGTGAAATTTATGAAACATTGTAATATGTTTTCGGTGAATATAGCATTTTCAAAACAATAAAAAGTGAGATGGTATGTTATGTGTTAGCAGTTACTACTCCACACAAGTCAATCTTTAATTTCTATTCTAATGAAATAAAACAGAATTCTGTTACTGTTTTCACTTTTTCTTTCAAAAATGTAAACTGACATAGAGTTACAGTGACCTGTGACTGAAATAGTGCCATCATCACATTTAGGAATGGGAGCCAGCCTAAAGCATGTCTAACAGAGCGGGTGCCCCCTTCAGCTGTGAGTGAGTGTGACCTGTGATGATTGACAGCTATGTCTGTGTGTTCTTTATGATTCAGAGCACAGGGGCGTGACCACAGCCGCTGCCTCCTTCACCTGGTGACTATCTGCTCCGTCTGTACCCCCTTCACCCCCTTCACCCCCTCCACCCCCTTCACCCCCTCCACTCCTCACACAGAGACGGGCCTGTTGTGTCAAACCTGTGTCCACCAGAGCACCCATCGTTAACCACTCTTATGCATTAAACTAATGTTGTCACAATACTATCATTTCAAATTTGGTTTTGGAAGGAATAATAAAAACACACACTAGAATGTGATTTTCAGCATTAAATTGAAGTATGTTCTATTCCCATGTGTCTTACATGTGTGTAATCTCTGTCCTGTCAATGGGACTTTTTACTAAAAAAGTCCCATTGACTGATACTTGCTCAGATGAATATCTAGTTTTGATACTAGTTTTAGTATTGATTAGTATACCATTTTCAGTACAAGCCTTGTAAAAGGCCACATAGACTAATCCAAACAAGTTAATTTTGTCTTCTTATGGCAAAGGAAAAATTCAATTTGTCAACTGGACAAAGTTTATTTTGGTCGAAAACATTTCAGAGCTCATCCAAGCTGCTTCTTCAGTTCTGGTCAGAATGCTCCTTTGCCTTGGATTCTACCTGCCCAATTGAGGGATTTTACACACATTTACACGCACATCTTCTTATGTACATGCACCTCTTGGGTACAGTAGGAGGTGTGTTTACCTTGTTGACATGTTTCACCTGCTAGCTGCTAGCCGTCTTCAGAACTGTCCTAGACTGTAGACTAGACTAGTATACACCCATGGAGCACTATGGAACCTACCTGGACCACTGAGGGATTACACACATATAAGACACATGGGACTAGGAAAGAACGTACTATGATTTAATGTTGAAATCACATTCTACTGTCTCGAGAAAAAGTTTCTTACTATCTTCTCACCAGCAAGTTTATTCCTTAGTATTAAAATTAAAATTGTAGTATTTTAGTTTGAAATGTGATCATGCTGACAGTATAGATTAAAACTATGATGGCTTACTTTGTTCACATGCCTTATGCTACACACTTGTTTCACATGTTTGACACGAGAGCCATGCACACAGCTCCTCAGTCTACTCTGCTGTCTGCTCTACAGCTCCTATATTCTGCACAGTCTGGCTTTTCAAAACTACCTGGGGATGGCTTTCGTCTTATAGAACTCCACATAACTGTTACACAGTTTGAACAACTTGGTAAAATATGAAATATAATCATAGAAATGTAAATGATAATGAATAATATATGCATTGTAAACATGTAAAAGTACCTCCTCCATAAAGTATGTATAAAAGGCCAGCAAGGGGCACAAGGGGCTAATGCGCTGGATATCCATCGTGATGGAGGAGAACTTCAGGACTTCCTCCTGGTGACATAATCAAGTGGGAGAGATTGAGGAGGACACAGCAGTTTAACAGTGTTCCAAAAAGTCACATTGGCAGAATATAGGACCATTAAGAGTGATGGAAAAAGTGTTATGCTGTCCACCACTCCATATGAGCTCATAGCATTGTGTCAGTGTTCTCCACAGTTTTGTGCTCACAAAGTGGTGGCACGGCAGTCTTTACTTGGAATAGGTCAGGTATTCATCTGAACAGTTTTTGAAAAGGGGGTGTTTCGACTACCATCCACAAGTCAGAAACACTGTCCAGATCCTTAGCACTGACATGTGTTCTGGGGATGTAACCAAATCCAAATCTCTGTATGAAATTATCACTATATGCATCTCACTTTACCATATTTATTCTGATATTTTGAATTGCAGAATGTTTTCGTTTTTCCCTTTTTAAAATGCCTTCAGAAAGTGGTGTGTCGTAATCTAAAGTAGTATGTTTTTTCTTCTGCACTGAAATAGAGCAAAGGATCATGGTCTATGTAGTTTTCTGTTTTTTAAGCAAAGGATCTCATGATTTGATTTTGTTATATTGACAACCCACAATATTTTAGTTCGACCTTTGATGACAGGATATCACATTTATGAGTGTACAAAAATATCAATATATTGTATCACTTAGTGTGATGATACAGTATCGATATCGTGGGGTGCTGTATCGATATATTGCCAAAATTATTTTTTGGTATATTTTATTCAATTATTTTGTTACAAAGCTGCACTTTTGTTGCTTGGTCAGAGGAAGAAAACTTGGTTATGCGTCACATTTGACATTTGTGCTGTTTTGATGATTAAAATGTTTGTGTTTCATATGAACTTTGCACAAGACGTGGTTTAACAAAGACTTTTAGTATCACAGCCGTGATTTAGCATTTAGTTTTATTGAAGCGTATCGAATCGATTTGAAATATATCATATCGAATCAAAAGTACACTGTATCGAGATATGTATTGTATCATGGCCTCTGTATCGAGGTATGTATCCTGTCGGCAACCTCTTAATGACACCCAGCCCTAATCACAATATTTTGGTTAATATTGTTACATCCCTAAGATTTTTGACCATTTTATTTGAATAAAACCTTGTGACAGTGATCAGAAGAGCAGGCTCTGTGTCACCACTGTCTCCTCTGTGAGAAACGCTGCTTTAGTCCCCTCTGTGTCTGTCTTGTGCTCTGTCCATCCTCAGTCCTGCATGTCTTCATTTCGAGCTCATTATGTGGACCTGTGCTCATATTTCCATGTATAACACTTGATAGTACTTGATAGTTTAGTGTAGAACTGTCGTGAGCAGAGAGCAGAGGAGGTGCTGTGTAACGTGCACATGTGCATACATGGACACTCACAGGACAAGGTGAAGGGGAATGTGCACTTTAATAATGTCCTTATTACTGTTGTCCCAAAACTAAAATGTCAAACACAATTTTGACATGAAGGAAAACATTTGATCATACTGATTTTGGTAACGCCGACAAACACACAATGCCATTTTCATCTTAAATTAACAATAGTTACTCTTAAAATGTAATCGAGATCAAGTCCATTTAAAAACTATTATGGAAAAGTCCAGCATCCAGCGAAAATGAATATTGTTACATTGCAGATTTGTGCTGTAATACAATGAGTTCTTGGGTCTTGTCACTAATAGAAATGATCAGGTTCAACATTTGACCTTTTGTGTATTTCATGGTAAAGTACAATGGAATCAATAAGGAAATCTGTCTCAAGTACTTTTTATATGTGTGTTTCTAAAGAGTTATTTAGTGTGATGTCACTTCCTGGTCCAAGGCGTATCAGCTGATTGAAAGCAATGCGCAGTTTACAATTTCCTTTTTTCTTTTTTTCTTCTTCACCGACCACATCAATTAGTGAGATGTACACACTGATAATCCTATTTTATCATAGATTATTACTGCATTATTCACATATTTGATGCTTTTTCATTGTGATTAAATATTAAACATTTGACGCACCGATACCGATACTGGTATGGGTTGTCAGCCCGATACTTCCTTAATATACTCGTACTCGTTAAACATTTGTCGATACCACGCTCTGATACCACTGTTATACGACACCACACAACATCACTGGTCACGTTTAAGAGGCCGTTTGTTGTTCAACTTCAGTGTCGAGGCAGAGACAAAGAGCCAAAAGACACGGCTGGTCATAAGCACAGATAAAGCTCAATCAAGTCATCGTAAGCAGTTTTGGAAGTTTTAGTATTGGGGAGGACAACAGGAGTGAGGCAGATTGCAAATGATGTAGTGCCAGTGTTTCGAGAGGTGGAAGGGAAAACACCTCATTTAATACAAGCAATTTAATCAAACATTTGAAGTAGGGATGGGCATGATTAATCGATAATTGATCATTAAGAATTTCATCGATTACGTTCATTTTAATCGACAAACTGAATGTAGGTTGCTGTGTGTAGTGTGACCAAACAGGTCTGTACATGTGTCTCTCTGCACTCAGAAGGAGCGAGACACAAACAGTCTGTCAGTCTCCAACGTACCGAAGCACAAATGCGTATATTACGATGACTTGTACAAGAAATTCCACGCTTTCCATTGCGTTCGGTGTGAGTCCATGTGCACAGTGTATAAAGCAGCACATATGTTTCGGTGTCTAGGGGAAAAAAGTTTTGCCAGGTGAGAGTCGCACAGTGTCGATGACGAGTCCCCACCTCCCTCCCCCCGTACGCTGTCCTGGTTTTGACAAACGAGAAATCTGGTCACACTAACCTGTATTCACCTGAGTCATGTCTTTTAATCCGACAGGAATTGACCGCATCAGCGACACAAGAGCTGTAGTTTTATCTTCGCTTAGTTTATGCAAATTAGCGATGCGGTTTTAAGTTTTGTTTCTGTGAGAGTTGCGCAAAACTGAATTAAACATATTATAATGTCAAACGGATTGATGTGACTCTAGAGTCGTTACAGTTTATATGTCGTAAAGTTGAATTTATTTATGCAGATTAGTAGTGCAGATAGTAATAATAATGATGATCATTTTAATATAAAATGTTAATGTTAATGATTAATCGATAATCAATTGTTAATTCTTCCGACGATCGATTAAGAAAATTTCATCGAATGCCCATCCCTAATTTGAAGACACAACACAGTGAGTGTACAACGAGTTCACCAAAGCAGCACAAGCCGTCAACAGCCAACTTTCACCCAAGTTTTCAAGAAGCGAGAGAAAATGTCCAAAGATAGCACTCCATCAACAAAAACAACTGAAGCACTTATCCACTGCATTGCACTGGATGACCAGCCACTTTCACTCATCAATCAAATTGGGTTTCAGCATCTTATAGATGTTCTAGAGCAGGGGTGCTCAATATGTCGATCACGATCTACCAGTTGATCGCCAAGGTCGTGTGGGTAGATCACCGTGTCTCGTCTCAGACTCGCGTTTGGACTCGGTCTTGTCTCTCACTCAAGGTCTGACACTCAACAAGTGCGATCGTATTTCATTACGGCCGCTGCTGTTGGTAATAAACTTGTAGCGGGTGCAGGAGCGTGTGGGGCGTCTCAGTGCAGCCTGTGCGCTCATTTGAAACCCGCGGAGACTCTACGGCGCATTACAAACACACACGCTCCCTATGCACGGCTCGTCTGCAACAGCGTGTGCCCTCGTGTACCAGCGTGCATCACAGGGCAGGTTCAACTTCCTAAACATCCTACCTGTCCATCTGCCTCACGTCAGCACGCCGCCCCTCGCCTTTTCACACTCTCGCTCCTTCCTGCGTACAGCCAACACAAGCCCCTCCCACAGTGCGGCTGATTAGAAGAACAAGACCAAACGTGAAGCAAAAACCAGTCTAAATTTGTGTTCCAGTGTTGGCACAAAGCAGGTCTACAGCATAGAGTAGATCTACAGAACAGACCTACTGCCACATTTGGCTGAAGTTTGTCTAACAAAAGTGCACAAATGCATCTGTGTTTGTCACGATGTGCGTTTGGTTTGGTAAACGTGCAGAGGCTGGTAAATATCACTGCAAAACCAGAAAAGAATGCAACTCCAGTTTGGAACTTTAAAAAACAGGTTTAAAAATCTTCCTTCACTTTTTTCACAGTTTTGTGTAAAGTGCCAGAGGAAGTTCTCTTAAAGAAGAGGTTCTCAAACTGTGGGTGAGGGTCCAAAAAAGGGGCACAGAGTGTTTCAGTGCAGTTTGCTTGGCTTTGTATTAGGTAGATCTTTATGACTTGGTCATTTTGTAAGTAGCTCACATGCTGAAAAAGTGTGAACACCCCTGTTCTAGAGCATCACATTTTCTAATGATCAGAAAGTAAAAATAAAATCTGCACTTCCATTTAAGTGTCGGTATCAGTACTCAGTATTGGCAAGTACAGAAATGATTATACTCATACTCGTATGGGTTTTCAAAGAAGTGGTGTCTGTGCGTCCGTACAGAAATCAGCAGTGAAGATTCTGGTTGGACCCGGAAGTGACACCATCGCTTCACAGCCCTATTTCTGGTTCTATACATTTTCCCATGATGCTTTGTCCACTGTGTTGGGTTTCTAGGTGTGTCTTTGGGCCTGAAACTGTCTGTGTCATTTCAGTACGTGGATGGGATGGCGGAGAGCAGTTCGATGGTGTAGCAGTGTGCGCAGCAGCGTTCAGGAGCCAGGAGGTTTGTGGACCTGTCTCTCCCCCCACTACTGTTCACACTACGGCGCCCCTGTGTGAGCGACACTGGCCACTGCAGCCACTCTGTCAGACTCTTAAGCTTCTACCAACTGATTTTATTTAATGTTTTTTTTTTTTTTTTGAATAAGGATATTGAACTGGTTTATGTGCCGCTGTTGTAGAAGTGGTACCAAGTGTCATGTTTTTGCCCTGTGCCAATGTTCACCTGTGGAGACATAAGGGCTGGGCGAGTATTATCTAAATTTGTTTTATTAGTATCCCTAATATTTTGTAAATCCATTGAAAATGTGTTAAGACATGCCTGTAAATGTAAAAAAGGCAAAGGGACTGTGAAATGAACCTCAAAAGTGCAGAAATGTTTATCTAGGTCCTTATTTGAAACCCTGATAGTTTAGTTTGACTTTTTAGTTTTATTCTTTTAGCAGCCTTACTACATCTATTCTCATTTTGTGTCTCTTCAAAACTATATTATTTATTTCCCGACATATCTCCCACTCTTCCCCTGTTGGTCAGCCTGTGTCATACTCTTAGTTAGGTCCCTTTAGTTGCTTTTAAAGGAGACATATTGTGCTAAATCTACTCTTCATTATGTTTCAATCATTGTATTTGGAAAGATTCATGCATGTTTGAGTTATCTTTATTTTTTTTAAGACGTCCTTGCTCCGATCTACCCCCCTTTTCACCTCCACTGGTACACGCCCACTAATCAAGCTTGCTCTGGGCTGATATGTGTGTCACTCTGAGCTCTCACAGCTCTGCTCTGTCCGGCTTGAAAACAGCTCCTGAAAGGCAGAAGGTCACGACAGACATTTGCGGAACAATTGAAGACAGAAAAAAAAAAAGGCGCCGCTTGCTCGTGTGACGTGCAGGAGTGATGTGATGAGGAGTTTGCAGGGCCGTGCTGTACAGGCGCTGGTGGGTTAGGCTCCAAAAAACCTCACTGGGCTCCGCAATTTTCCAGCCCAGAAGTCAACCCACCTGTCGTTTTTGATGAATAGTGTGATTTAAAGGTGCAATGTATAACTTTTCTGGTGGAAGATTCGTTACCTGCTTGTTTCTATAGATACTTCATTGCTCTGTCTGAAATGTTAATCTAAACTGTTTGGTTGAGATGAGGGGGTTTGCAAGATCCTCAGGGAATTCTACAGAAATTCACTTTAATCATAACAAGCTCGCGCTATTGTTGGTGCAAAATGTAATATTTGTCAGACTTTAGACTGGTCCTTCTGCTGATGTTGGAAAATGGCGACGACTACATGCACTCCAGTCTCAGGAAAGATGCATGATGAAGGTGCAATAATGTTACTTTTTAGGTTGTCTCCCTGGAGATATTAATGCATTCACCTTACCTGTTACCTTACTTATCTAGTATATATTTATATTTAGGTATTTTTATTGCTAAAAAAAATGCTTTGAAAAACATGAACAGGCTCTTCTCTTCACAGACCAGACCTGTAAATTTAAGTTTAATGCCATTCATATGACCATAGAAAAGTTACAGTGTGTCTTTAAAGTTGTATAGATCCCACTGTTATAAAAGTTACTTGTAATATTTCATTTACTGATTCTGTCCCGCCTCGAGAACCTGAATGAGAACAGCTCATGTTTAAATATGAAGTGTGTGTGTTTATGTGCCATGTTTTCAGTTTTCTTTGTTTTTTAAAGATGCCTTGAGCAGCGCCCTCGTGTGTGCACTGGGCTGGGACGTACCCACAGTGGAAGATATGAGAGTCAAAAGTACCTGGTCATGTGTTATTTCCAAAGATGAGAGTGTACAGATGAAGCTGAAATGTTCAAACCATAGACTGTATAAATGGACATAGCTAACCCACTGGCCGCCACATTCCTAACACAAAGTGAGCATGGATGCACTTTTGGCTCCATCGACTCTCGTATCACTAATGGAAAAACCTTCGTCCCTCTCTCTCGTAACTGCTGCTGTCAGCCTCGTCATTTTGGTCTTAAAATGTTTGTATTAACTTGCTTTTCCTGATTCTGGGGTTTTTATTTCACAATTTTGTCCCTAAATCGAGATTAAGATATTAATAACAGACCAATGAGGTGGTTTCTTTTACCAAGGTCATTCTACTAGCGTTAGCAATAGGTTTGATTGACAGCCTCGATGAGCTTCATTTGACTGGACCGATATGGGTGTCATCATTTTCCCTTAGTCCACTTTATACAGTCTACGGTTCGGGTTCCCACAGTCATGGAAATCCTGGAAAAGTCATGGAAATTGAAAATGTCATTTTCTTGGCCTGGAAAAGTCATGGAATGTTGTAAAGTCAATGAAAGTTTTGGAAAAGTCATGGAATTTTAGTGTCTCTTTCACACAACTATTGTTCTGTTAAGTTCCCATGAGCCTTTTGTTTAAAAGAGATGAGAATAAATGCACTGACAGGATTTAGAATGTTCAAAAACTATAATCCCAAACCATAATGTTAACAAGGAAAGAGTTTACATTTCATATTTAGCCCTAAAAGTCTGATCAATTCTACACATGTGGGTGCCATAAAGTTATGGAAAATTCACTGTAGGTCATGTAAAAGTCATGTCAAAAATTTGAAATTTAGTGAAAAAGAGTGGGAACCCTGACGGTTAAATAGTTTATGTCAACATAAAGAACTGTATGTAACCTGGACTCAGAGTCTGACTTTTTTAAATATCATCACATGTGAGCCTGTGTCTCCAGAGCCTTCACCTGCAGACAGAGACACATCCAAGTTTGTCTCAGTCCAGTCCTGTCCATAAGACGAAGCCTCATGTGAAACTCAGAACCTCCAGAACTCCCTCCCTGAGCTGCAGAGGCTGCACTAGCACTGACTCATGACTGGTGCAGGTGCTGGGGTTTAGGGAGTGACTTTTTCTAGTTGGATACTTTGCTTTGAGAACAAAAAATACCCTATTATAACATTAACTACCATGTCCACTGTTTTTCTAATTAAATGTAATGCCTATTTATTCTTTTCATAAAAGTTATATTGAATTTGCACGTGTTTACCTCAAATCTGGGGACACAGATCTTCTTAAATCATGGAATTTAAAATCCAAAAATCGTACACAGAGTTCTTTTTAAGCTTTTGTCACTTGTAGACCTATCACAGTGGGAAGAGTAACCAAAATGTTTATACAAGTAAGAGTACTGTTACTTCAAGTGTATTCGGAGTACAAGTATTCTGTCAGAAGCCCTCTGTTATGTACAGGCTGTTGAAAATGTATCTGTGAGTGGAGTGCAGCCTCTGTGCTGTGCTCTACAGGACAACGTGCAGAAGGTGGAATAAAGATGGTCTGGTGCCTTAGCTCTCCTCTGCTCTTTCTTCAGTTAAAGGTGCAAGATCCATCACAGTCCATTCCAATTCACAGTTTCAATGGATGTAATTAGCAAAGCATTTTTAAAACAGACCTATTCCTTTTCAGAGCTTTTAATCATGTTTCCTCTCCCCATTTCCTCAAAAGCTGTATTTGGAGTGATCCCTGCACGTTTGAGTAATCTGCCATTGAAAAATCTTAAGTAATCGCTTATTTTCAAGATGAAATTTTGCAGCTCTAAAAGCAGAAGTCATTTTAGATTAATATTAAGATTTCAAGGTCCCTTATTAATTGCATTTTTCTCATTTATGCTCTAATGTTGTTTCGTCATCAAAAACCTAGTTTTGTTTCATTCAAACACAAACCCTGAAGATTTAGGCTGAGTTTAGGCTTTTCTTAAATAGAAAACTGTCTGTCTGTATATGGTAATACAGGAAGTGCTCCACTGTGGTTTTTAAACCTCATACATCTTCACTAGAATCATTTGGATCATTTCAGCCCTGGAATTTCCAAGTAAACAAAGTAAACAAAACAAACAAAAGGGAAAATGTAGCTATTAATTGAAAGCTGCCACTTCATGATAGACTAATTATAAAGGGTTACTCAAATGTGTGAATGAAACAAAACACATCTCCAGGTCTGTTTTTGAGAGGTAACAACATTATAACATGGCTTAAAGCTCATTCTCGTTTGTCAGCTCATATTTCAGTCTTTGTCAATGCAAGCACAAGTAATTGCGAGGCTTATCTGACGTTCAGACTGCAGCCAGAAGTGACCCAAATCCGATTTTTTAGCTTCTATGTGACCTGTATCCGATCTTTTAATGACAGTCTGAACGACACAGATCCAATTTTTTCAAATGTGACCCAGGACACTTGGATATGTGCTCCTGAAACCGATACATATCTGATCTTTTGACATGTGACTTCAGTGTGAACGACCAAAGTGCATTCATCCACCTACACGTTATCAACAAGACACAAACGTCACTATTCTGCACTGAAGTAGGAGAAAATTGTTAACGAACTCCATGTCACTGAAGTGAAGCACATCTCCACTCAACACTCTTGGCTCCGTCTCCACATCCACACGTTCCTTTCAACAGACGTCGCTGTCGCTGTCCCACAAAACACCACGGCCAAAAACCTCATCCTTCTCCTTCTCAATCTCCTCCTTAAAACAAGTAAGTTGTTCATGTTCTGGCTCCGGTACGAGAGGAACTTTAAAATCTCCAGGTGCTCAATGCTGCGTCCGTGTTTGGACAACTTCCGTAAACACAGAGACGCTCGCTGCGGTTGACGTCGTCGTGTCTCCAGTGTCACATGTGGGACACTTTTGGGCCGTTTAATGTTCACACTGGAGTCACATACAAGTCACATTTAACTGGAAATGTGAACGACCTCGCAAAAACATTGGATTTCACAAAAAAAAAAAACAGAATTGAGCGTTAAGCCCTGCAGTCTGAACGTAGCCTGAGAAATCACAGTTTTGATGGTAAATTTTTCTATAGTGCTTTTCCACCTTCAAGGCACCACTCACCCATACACACATTCATACACCAATGTACGCAGACACTGTGGGCAAGGTGAGTTAAGTGTCTTGCCCAAGCATTCATCTGTGGGAGCTAGAATCACACCAGCCAACCTGTGGGTCAGTGGATCTGAAAGTCTTTAGAATGATGAAATAACAAAATTGGAGCGCTACACTGGATAAAAAAAAACACAAAAACTTACGCATACAGGTGCTCATCAAACCAAAGGGCTGGATTCTCGTAAAATAGAAAAATGATGGCAGAGGCACTCTGATTTTGAATTTGACAGGCTGAGATTTAGAGTTGAAGGAGTGATTGCATGTTGAATCCAAGTTGCAAGATAAATCATGATTAGGTTAGCAACAATTAAGTTCATTGAAGATGACAAAACAAAGTAATTGAGTATTTATTAAAAGAATAAGATTAGCGCAACAACAGTAGTTTTTACTCTCCACTTTTATTTGATACTGTATTGTGTTTGACAGATGAGGTTTGTAGTCGTGTCTCTTTGCTGGGATGAGTGTGGTGGTTGTTTATGGCTGTGGAGCGAGAGCAAATATGGACGATTGGCTGGTGTCAGATAATTACACTGTAGCGCTCCCATTGATCTGCTGCTCGTTCACTCCTCCGACACTTCAGCAGATTGGTCTGACCTATAGAGGCTGGCCTCATGAATACACACGCTCCCTAGGCTCCTATAAAGGAGTCTGAACCCCTAAGCCTATAAAGGCTCCGGGGTCCGGACTGCTGCAGCTTCTCTGTCTGAGCACCCACAACCAGCACCCTCAGAGACCACCTACACCCACAGAGAGCACCCGCAGAGAGCACCCGCAGAGCACCCGCAGAGAGCACCCGCAGAGAGCACCCGCAGAGATCACCCGCAGAGAGCACCCGCAGAGAGCACCCGCAGAGAGCACCCGCAGAGAGCACCCGCACAGAGAGCACCCGCAGAGAGCACCCACAGAGAGCACCCAGGACTAGGCAACATGAGGGTAAGTCGTTCTTTTAATGTATTCAGGCCTGTTGACAGCAGTTTGCAGGACCGGGCTTTAAGGCTCACTTGGGCCACTCTCTGATATTAATTTCTAGGCAGAGGTTCCAATTCTGGGCCTCCAAGACCCTGGAGCCTGGGACGACAGACCCACTTTTACCTCCCTGTTGACTCTCCTGCACATATTATCTATTTAAAGACAACTCAAGTACAAGACTAACAGAGGGGGTCACCATACTATTCAAACTATTCAATTCAACAATTCAAACTCTATTTCAATACTAAAGGATAGACTTGATACACAATACCCATTTTGATACCACAATGATGATAGGAAAAAACTTAAAATTTGTATATAGACAATAGTATGTTATTTTCAACATTAAATCAAAATTCAAGTATTTTCTTTACTAGTCTCATGTGTCTTATATGTGTGTAATCCTTAGTGCTCCATGGCCATATACTAGTCTACGTGCTTTTGTACTTAAAATGTAAATGTGACTTTTTTTTATTATCGATACCTCTGAAAAATGAGTTTTTAGTTTTCATAATAGTTTTATCATTATTTAAAGCTGAAGCCACTGAACTGTAGTGTAACAGACTTAGTAGTAGTACAGCGTATTCCAAATGTTCTCCATTCTTTTTATCTATGATTTAGCTGAAGCTTTGTTATTGCTGAATTTTCTATAGGCCCATCATATTCAACACAGGAGAGGGGCAAATGAAATGTTGTTCTCATCAGGTCATGTTTGAGTGACCAGATTCAGTGTGCCTGGGTGAATAACACTCTATCACCCTTTAAAAGCCGCCTCTACGGGAGTGTCTCAGGGCTCCTTTCTTGGACCTCTGCTCTTTAGTATTTATATAAATGATCTCTATAATGTGTGTACTGATGTTGTTATAATAATGTATGCTGATGACACTGTGCTTTTTAGTTATGGGAAAACCAATTTGGGGTAACAGAAAATAAGCGTAAATCCCCACAGACTCATGAAATTTTAGTAAATGGACAAAACATCAGGAATGTGGATGAATTTAATTATTTAGCTCTATTATTTGACTCAAAACTTAATTTTAAAAGTCACATTAAAAAACTTGGAAACACACTGAAGTTCAACTTGATGAATTTTAAACATATTAGCAGTGTTGGGAAGGTGACTTTTAAACTGTATTCCCCTACAGATTACAGATTACACACCCCAAAATGTAGTTTGTCAACGTAATCCATTAAATTACTTGAAGTGAGTAACGTAATCTGAATACTTTGGATTACTTGATATTGTCATGCTTTTTAAAACTACATGAACGTACCAACCACATCCTGTAAATTCATGTTTGTTCAGTCTTTATTTGACCATATTAAAAATATTATTGATAGAGAAATGATTTTTAGATGAGATCACAGCTGACTTCATTATGTCCACCTACTGTTAGTGTCATATTCTATTAGTTTAGTCCTGGTTTAGACCTGGTTTAGACCTGGTTTAGACCTGGTTTAGACCTGGTTTTAGTCCTAGTTTAGTCCTGGTTTTAGACCTGGTTTAGTCCTGGTTTTAGTCCTGGTTTAGTTCTGGTTTTAGTCCTGGTTTTAGTTCTGGTTTTAGTCCTGGTTTAGTCCTGGTTTAGTTCTGGTTTTAGTCCTGGTTTAGTTCTGGTTTTAGTCCTGGTTTAGTTCTGGTTTTAGTCCTGGTTTAGCCCAAAATGTGAAAATAGGAAAATTCCGCCGTGTAATCCATTTATTTCAACAAAGTAACTGTAATCCGATTACCACTCACTGAATAAGTAACTGTAACTGAATACAGTTACTCATAATTTGTACTCTGATTACGTAACTCTGGTACATGTAATCTGTTACTCCCCAACACTGGCTATTAGAATGAATTTTAAACATATTAGAAATTCTTCAACAACTGAGGCTTCATATACATATTTTAATGTCATGACTGTCTCGCTCCTTGGATATTGTGTTACAAGCTGGTCTGTAAAACATCTCTAAAGCCCATTGTACAAACATTACTATAACTGCGTGACAAAAAGCCACTGCTCAATACTTGTCAAATATAAATAGTTACATTTTGAAAACTTGCTTATGGTAAATTTAATCAAATTTGTGAATTTATTGCCTTATTATTATTTATTTAATTGGAACACCATCAGCCCCTCTGACCACAACCAACACACACACACACACACACACACACATCACATTCACTCTATTTAAGGTGGGTGAAGTGTCTAGCCTAAGGACGCAACAACAGTTTTTGTCACTGGTGCTCCTGTCACTGTGGCACCTGGTCTGACCTTTTGTATATCATCACCTTCTAGAATCTGAACACCACCGACGCCAACTGAGTAGTTTTATCTTTACATGGTCAGAACACGAGAGCTGCAGTTGAACATTCTACTCTGTGTCTACTCTTCTTTATTCATATTTATCTGTTGACCACCTCTTTTACAGATTGTTGTTT